TCCTCATCCTGCCATCTTCCTGCTGCCTGCTCACTGTCCTCATCCTGCCATCTTCCTGCTCCCTGCTCACTGTCCTCATCCTGCCATCTCCCTGCTGCCTGCACTGTCCTGCACACTGTCCTCATCCTGCCATCTCCCTGCTGCCTGCTCACTGTCCTGATCCTGCCATCTCCCTGCTCACTGTCCTGCACAGTCCTCATCCTGCCATCATCCTGCTGCCTGCTCCTGTGCCTCTCCTGCTGACCACCACTTTCCTTTATACACATTGTTTCCAAAACTGTGTCTATACTTTTGGTGTAATGTTCTGTAACTCTTAACACTAATATTTCCTACTTACTCTTCTTTTACCACCAAAAAAGTGTGATGTCTCCATCTTTCCTTTTCCTCATAGTGTGTCTGTGAATAAAATCGAATCTATATTTAACAAAACAGTATCTTGGCTATCAGAAGAAGCTTCTAAAAATGTCTATAAATATGAAATTGTGGAATGCAGAATCAATACCACTAAAATTCAAATATGGCTTATTATTTGCTAGCTAGTTTTTTTACGTTGCCCCTATAGGTTTCACTTATAGTAATGTTTTTTCAGAGCATAACGTTAGATCTTCTTATGCGTTAACATTAGCCTAATAACAAACCACACAGGCTAAGTGGCGAATTAATTTCAGAATGGCACAATTTATTCGTGATAAAATGAGAATGAAAACATAGGGAGTTCATCTCCTTGGAAAATGACCATGATCGATTTTACCTCACCAAATAAGCCTGGTTTAAATAGAGAACTTAGCTTATCTTGCTAGTTAACGTAACTAAAATTGACTGTACCTCGACAAAGTACAGTAGGTCAACTCGACAAAACACCGGCCTCAGAAGGACAATGGTAAGTAATTCAACTTATAAAGACGTCAGCTTGCATTGGTAGATGAAACACTTAAACGAATAAATAAAGGTTGTAAAATAACACATTTTCAACAGGCTAGACTTCTGCTGGCTATGTTGGAGTCAGAACTCTGCCGGGTCCGTTGATGAGAAGAGATTCACAGCCCAGTCGAGGAGTGGTTGCAAGTCACCAGTTTATTCTCTGACAGATTGCGCAATCTGGGAGCAAACATCCGACATACATTCAGCATGTACAAGAAGATGCTCGAACCATAGGTGTCGGTTCTAGGTCTTTATAGGCCTTTTGGGGTGTGGCCCCCCCTTCTCTGTACTTTTCCACCTACGTGACCACCACAGACCCCGACCTTTGCTCTAGTTAGTAAGTGTGCCTGTCCCCCGAAAAGAGTAAAAATAAGTGCCAGCTACATGATCGGTTCCTGTTCTCTTGCTGCCGGGAACAATGCCCTCCTGACCGGCTCGGTTCCTGTTCTTTTGCTGTCGGGAATTATTAGTTGCATTAATAAATGATTAACCCCTCAATCTGTTTAGAACGAGGTCATCTTGACCTGTTTTAAGCTATGTTCTCCCTTTCCTCTATTCATTGTATGTTCTTTATAATTCTATTGAATCCCACAATTACTTACATCTACCAACGCACGACAAACAGTACCATGACAGACAAACACAACGAACAGGTCACTCAATGAGAATGAATGACGCAACCGACTGGCTAGCTGCTTCTAGCGCCGAGGTGGTTAAAATGGTACGGTCCACATTAGGGGTGTCTGCAATCGTTTTACATAAACTTTTCCTACAAGGTGAGGCTATGTTTTTTTTTGTTTTTTTTTAACAAAAGAAAAATGTTAAGACCCCCCCCCAAACTGCTATTTTTGTCTCTTTGATCGGGGGGTACAGTACCCCCCGGAATTCGAACCATGGTCAAACGCCTGAACACCGTTGATTTTTTCAGATTTGCAATCGCACCTGGAGATTAGAGTTGTGACGTTCGCGAACGAACCGATTCTTTTGAACGGCTCATAAACATGAACGATGGGAGCCGAGTCGCGGCTGGAGGGGAGCCGTTCTTTCTGTCGTTCTTTTTTTCCTATGCGTGTTTCACACAGATGCACACAAATTAGCTCCTCCGCGAGACAGAACAGTTATAGGGGGAGGGGCGCACCCAGCGCAGGGGTGCTACTGCCTAACAGCATGATGATAGTTGTGCACGCATCCTTCACTTCCACATTGTGTGGAAGTGTTTGTAGTAAAAGCTGTTTTGCACAGAAATTCATTGCAGCCGGCTTTGTTTTTGATGTTTATTTGTGAGTAGGTATTGTATGAATAACATAAGTCAACGTAGCTTTACACATACACACACTTTGTACTAAAGGTAAATCCAAAATAGTGATGTCACTGTCTAAGCAGAGGGATGTTGTGCAACCATATGGAATATAGTCCACACATGACAAATGAGGTAATAATCAATATTTCAGAATAATTCAAACTCAGATATTGGTGTGTGATATCGGAGTTTTAATTATTTGACTACAAATCTCACCTCATCATTCCTCCCAGTGATTATTTCCAGGATAAACTGAGATGCCCCCAAGCTGGCTTCTTAAAACTGACTAAATATTTATTCTCATTCTTTTGAACGGCTCTTTGAAAGGAACGGATCGCCAAGATCCGGATCCCCTCAAAGAGCCATAAATCCCATCACTACTGGAGATACACGGCTCGGAGTATGAAATATTGAAACTTTATATCTTTCACACAGTATGGGACATTTCACAGTGGATTTTCTTGTGTTTAGTTTAACAAGTACAGGAACCAGTCAGTTATGAGAGGTAGGACCCACGGCTTGCTTTTATAAAGAAACATATTACGCCACATATTTGTCCTGTCAGTATGAATTGTTTCTATAAACTCCAGTGTCTCACCTCAACTTATTTTGCAATACTATCACAATAGTTCACTATGAACATGTTTGTATTGTAAAACTCTTCGGGCACATTACAACTAAGCTGTAATCTAACCATGACTTTTTCATTTACGGCGTACACAATGTCTGTGGTTTATGGCTTTATTTAATACAGCTGTCGGAAAGACATTTACAGCCACCCCACTAGCGAGCGCATACAATAAACGCAAGAGACAGTAACCAAACAATCTTTGAACAGAAGTGCATCATCGCTATTTATGTGAGATACTAAAATACAGATCAACGTTGTTACGCAACGTGTATCTCAGACTTTTACCCATTTAGCGTGTTCTGTTATTAATTAGCTTGACTCCAGTAAAAGAACATCGGATGTCGAAAACTGTTTAACGTAGGACACATGATTAGCGCCAGCGTTGGTACGTTGCTAGGCAACAGCCAACCACCTTGTACTTCCGTTTAACGAGAGGAAGAACTTCCGATAGCGCGCGTGGAATTAGCGTTTGATCTGTATAGCCGTTGATTTTCTGTGACTGAAATAATCTAAGTTTGGCTTGTTTTATTTAGCTGTGTTAACCATTGGCATCGTCTTACTGAACGTAAGACAAGTTGTGACCGAGCTGGCTTAGCTGGTGTACGTGATGACTGTGTGGCTACCCGCAAGGACAGAGTAGTACTGTAAATATGTAACTGTATTTAAAATCAGGTTACGCATAAATGTCGCATTCGAACTCCTAAGAGTGAAGGGGGCTGCATATGCCGCTTTATTTTTCGCCAGCAATAAGAAGACAGATATTTTCTACATCCTTCCTACAATATCACAGCTCATTTATCCTCTCACACATTTGGGCACGCCTGCTATTAGCCATAAAACTGAAGCTGGACATCAAGGAAAGATTGGGATGTCCACGAAGCAGAAGGAGAAAAATGAGTGTAGTCACTTAGGTGATGCACCTGAAATGAAGGGAAAGCCCTTCGATGGCTTGAAACTCGCATCTCATGAAGTTTTGGAAAGAGCCCAGATGACGGGCAGGTCGAAGTGCCCCAAGTGTAACGGTTCAAGGATGTTTTATTGTTACACGTGTTTCTCATTAGTAGGCGTGAACCAAGATGAAGTACCCAAAATCAAGGTCAGTATGATGATGTGCCTTACCAATGAAAGAGGAAGAGCAGCGTAGATTTAGGCAGAATCGTCTGCGGTCTACTTTGAAGCTTGCCGTGTACTGGATTATTTTAAGTGAAATATCTTTAATATTTATCATTTATATTGTACCCTGGCATGTTTTCAGATATTCGTGTATCTATCCGTTTAATTATCTGTGGCAATAACGTACTGAACTGTAAAAGAAATGGCGCTTAGTTAAATTGTAAAACATAAATCGCACCCAAAATGAATGAAGTCTCAGGTGCCTGCGATGTACGAACTATTTCAAATATTTTAAATGTCTGATTTAATCATCAGTATTATGAGTTAAAAGGAGCATTTGTTAACCCCTTTCAGCTTCCAGTTAAAATAGACATCATTAAGCATCCTCATGAAACTGACGGAAAGAGCACTGCGGCACACGCCAAACTTATTGCGCCTGATGACGTCACCGTTTACACCTACCCCTGCATCCCGGAGTATGAGAATGAGAGATATAATGTACGTTTTTTCCTTCCCACTACTTACGCAGTAAAATGCTGGATATATACATTCATTGTAATAGTTAAGAAACTGAAACGTTGCATTAGTATCTCAAATACTTTTATTCATTGAATCTAGTCTTGTGCTTTAAGTGCCTCTTATTTTAGTGAAGCAATTTAAAATAAATTTTGCTGAGAGGCACTGCATGATGGTCCGGTCCTGGGACTCAGACGGGCAATCTTTGTGCGGCACTCATTCTTGGTGTGTCCCCAGGTTGTCTTGGTCTTCCCTGGTCCGGGTTCAGTGACCATAGAGGAAATGATGGAGGAGCTACAGGTACTTAGGGTCCCTGATAAAGGTGAGGCCGCTTCTGCTGGGGAGCCCTCCCCGAAGAGGGCGAAGAGAGATGATGAGTCTGAAGAGAGAGACGGCACAAAAGTGCAACAGCGAGCCTTTGTGCTCCAAAAGGTCGTCTTCATTGATAGCACATGGAATCAAACAAATAAAATAATCTCAGATGAGCGGCTCCAAGGTAATGACATGTAACTGCGGCAGAATTTCAGATATTCCTGGCTACAGTGTTATATTTCAGTCTTACCAAGTTTGAGTTGTGAGGGCAAATGCACAACAAAATACTGGAGTGTGTTTGTCCAGACTCCTGGGAAACTAAAGTATTTGCTCATTTTCCTCAGCCTTGCTGCGAGTTGAACTGAAGACAAGGAAAACCCATTTTTGGCGTCACCAGAAGGGGTCCCCAGACACATACCTGGCAACAATTGAGGCCATCTATTACTTCCTGAAGGATTACCATGTGCTCTGCCTGTCACAGGACTATCAAGGAGACTACGACAACCTCCTGTACTTCTTTGTATATCTGCACAAGCTGATTAACAGTGCTAAGCACGCTGCGGGGAAGCTGTAAACATAGCCTTCGTGTCCCAATGTTTTTCTTATTTGGCAGGCAGACATTGGCTGTAAGATCTACAGAATACTTGTCCTGTTGTAGATATGACTGTATATAATGTCCTGGTTGTTATATTTAATTTTTTTTTTTTTACATTGAGTTTTTACAAATGACACTATTAGATTGTAATTCAACAATGTCTGGTTTTGTTTTGGAGCTGAGAAAGGGCGTACGATAAGCACTGCACAGAACATGCTTTCCATCGCTCTAGGGAATGCAAATCTGGAAATAAAAAGTAAAAAAAAAACAACCATTCATTTATGAATCTTTCTGTATAAAGTAAATGCCTCTTATTAATCCACAAAGTTGCCCGTCAGTGCAGAGAATAAATTAGTGAAATGTATGATAAATAATAGTGAGTGTGCCCTGCCATGGGTTGGCGCCCCATCCTGGGTTGTTCGCCGCCTTGCCCCTGTAGCCTCCGGGATAGGCTCTGGACCCTCCCCAACCCTGAATAGGTGGAAAATGGATGGATGGTTACAGAAGATGGATGATAAAATAGTGAAGTAGGTCATCAGCAATGCTACCTGCTATGTCCTCGTGCATGTTTAATGACTCAGAGGTATCATGTCTTTTTCCTCATCTATCTCATTTTCTCCGGATCAGAGAGCAGCGCAGTGCTTCGACACTGCTAGGGTTGTGGGTTCGATTCCTGCCCTATAAGGTCCCCATATTTATGTGGCTTACAGAGACGGGCCTACAACAACAGGAGAGGTTAAGTTTATTACATTTAAAACTTGCATTTTGGAATCAGCTGAACACTGCCATAAATCAGCATGTGATCAGGAAAAGGGAAATAAATATATATATAAATGTATAATTGATTTGGAGTCAGTCCTGCGCCTAGTAGTAGGCCTCTCTGATTTTGGCCTGCAGGCTATCGCAGGTCTTCTTGGCATCTCCAAGCAGCATGCCGGTGTTGGCCTTGTAGAAAATGGGGTTGTCCACCGCAGCATATCCCACGCCAAGTGTGCGCTTCATCACGATCACCTGTGTCAGGAGGATGGTCACCGTTAATTTGGTATACTTAGGCAAGATGCTGTCAGATTGTACCAGCTCTGTGTTGCATGTTCCTGAGCGGTACTACACATTTTGTTAAATGCACTTATTAGAAATGTTATTGTGCTGTATTCTGAGCTGTGGATAGCCACAAACATCTGATGGACAGCACGATCGTCTGATAGCAGTTATGATGGGTACCTGTACTAATGACAATAGAGCAAGTATCAGTGCCAGTGGGGTTGCCAGGTTGGCACCAGCTCCCCTGAAATAGGCAGCTGACCAGAGCATTGTAATTAAGTAAACAGTACCCTAGCGGAGGAGCTGAACTCAAGATGAGAAGGGTTGCCAGGCCTTACCTGCTTGGACTTCCAGACTTCCAGCACGGGCATGCCTGCTATGATGGAGTTGGGGTCTTCCTGGGCCGCTGAGTTTACAGTGTCATTTGCACCGATGACCAGTGCGAGATCCGTTTCTGCACCAATAAAGGAGACCTTTAATCTCGACGGAGCTGCAGTAACTTAGGACACCAACAGGCACAATCAAAGAGAAACAGCCATGAGGCAGCGATTTACCGTCGCCCAGCTCGCTGTATGCAACATGAATGAAACCACATGTAAGCTTTACACTGCAGGGCAGTTCACTCTAAACTACCTTAATATTCAGCTGCCTGCTGGCCTCACATGTGTAAGCTGAATTACATGACTTTAATCTGAAAATGTGCCTGGATAATATAAGTATTAGAGTTGTTTTTCTGCTTGTTCGCTCCGCATGAAAAACCCTGTTTATCTCAAACGCTTGCACTAATTTCTGCACGGGCCGTGCAGCTTGTCAGAAATGAGACACTACAGCCATCCCAGACGATCTGTTTTTCTGCCCTTTCTGGGTCCGTGAGAGAGTGCGAAACACAAGCTTATTCTGTCAACCTGGAAAGTCTTCGTTGATCTCATCCATCTCCAACACGACATCGTACGGGACTCCTGCCTCGGCTAGAAGCACATTCAGCTGGCCCGGCATGCGACCAGCTACGGGGTGAATGCCAAACCTGGGTCAAAAAAGGCCGCATTCAGATCCACAACATCACTGATAGCGAGGCCAAGAATACCTTTGACGTCATGTGTAGTCTGGCAGATGTGGTCCAGCCCATAGATACAGCCTTTGTTTGTTATATTCATAGGAGCTTTTCCAAAGCTTTCGTCTCATTTTGATAATTTCCTTACATAAATCTGGACAAATATTCTGCAGCATTGCACCTTGTTTAAATAAAGACACTGCATTATTATTTTAAAAAATAAAAAAAAAGTAATTAATTACTTTGTGTACTGAACAAGCATAATTTTATAACAGAGTATATTTTAAAGCCCTTATTTATAAATTATGATGGCACGAAGTAGTAATTCTTGGTTTGAATCTGTAGTGTAATAGTATAAAAATGTCTGTCAAATAAATATATGTGACTATACACTTTAAACAGCATGGACCTGTAAATATTAATTTCAGTAAAACGGGATGTTTTTGATCACATTTTTTCTTTTAATAGGTCATAGAACCTTTTTCAGATTTTCCCAGTGTTCCCATTTGATTTTACCAGCTCCCCTGGCAAGGAGGCATAGCAACCATCCTACCTGACCGTCTTCCCCTGCTCTCTGAGCATCTTCACCATGTCAGCGATTGGATACTGAGCCTTGGCAGCGCACAAACCCCAGCCTATCAGAATGTCAGGAGGAGCTTGTTACAATTGTGTATAATTATGACTATCCATCCATCCATCCATCCATCCATCCATCCATCCATCCATCCATTTATTTACTTTCCACAACCGCTTAATATTTTGTATTTACATGTGGTCATATAAAGCATTCAATACATTTTAGACTGCATATTATTGCACTGACATGCTGTCACCAGAGCTGCGATTTGGTTGCATTTTGCTCTGATTTTGAGTTGGAACTGGAAATATTTCTTTCATGTCTCCACATTCAGTTGATTTAGATTTTTGGAAAGAAGAAAAATGATTATAGTGTTTATACTGCAATTTTCTGCAAATAATATGAATTTTTGGCCATGTTTAAAGAGTTCTGTTTTGTGGTTCTGGACTTGCACTGATTTTGTGTTTACCTACATCTAGGGCAGAATGCAAGCACTGTCATACTACTGATCAAATATCTACACTCCGAATGCTGTCAAGATACAACAAATAACATGGTCATAAATAAACACATCCAGCCCAATGGGAGAGCCTCTCTTCATGAATTGTTTCTAGACTTTTCCTGTCCCCAATCCTTGATGGCAACATATCCAAAGCCTTACGCAAGCTTGCGTGCAAGTTGCTAACCGCTCACTCTGTCAGGGTGACCACTACTGCCAGACACGGGGGGAGCGGCAGGTTAATTCTTAAGGAGATCCCCCTCGGGGCAGCCACCTGCCAGTGAAGCAGCCATATCCTTCGATTTCTCCGTTCCCTGTTTGTAATCAGCTTCTTTAGCCTTACTGCGCTCTTTCCGTGATAAAGCAGAAAACTGGGATTGCCGCTTTAGGTCTTTCCTTCAGCTGCCTCCCTTCGTTAATTGATTCAACACGTTTGAACTGGCCCTGCTCTTTCGCAGTGTTGTTACAAACAAGAGCAAGAAAAGCAAACTTGAGCCACATGTTTTCTGTTGTGCACTTGAACTTTCGCCTGTGAACTTTCCACAAGGGGTTTCTCTGCTGTCTAATTCTTCTCTTTCATTAAAAACAACCAAAAGGAACTGAAGCAGCGCTAATAGAGGAATCCTCGACCAACTGCTGTTAAAGGATGCCACCGCAAACAGCACCCACATTAATCATACAGTTCTACATATTATCATCTGGCAGCCAATGACATCTGCTTTGACTATCTCTGGCCATTTTTACAGATCGCATGTGACGGTTTTACCCATATATTCATCATGCACTTGAGTGAAACGCAAAGAGTTTGTGCTTGAAAATACTCCCGCCTAGTGGTCACAGAGTACTTTGTCATCTCTCCACCACGATCCTGGTTGAACATGACAGAAGCGTTCTGGTTATGTCTCTTACCAGGCGTGATGATGATGCTGTTTGCTTCTTTAATCATCTCAATGGACTGATCCACATTGACCTCCGTATGAGTGCCCACAATCTCCATTGGCTTACCACCGGCCGTGGATGTTGTGCCGTACCCTCCCAGAATCACGTTGGGCAGCGAGCGATTCATGGCCTGTATTGAGATGCGTAGTTAGTGTCGCAGTTCACGTGCTAAGGCTTCCCCCATTCTCAGCAAAGATGCATTATCCTGGAGTGCATGCACTCACCACACACATGATGTACGACAAGATGGCTCCGGAAGAGCCAATGAGCGCCCCAACGATGGTCATGAGGTTATTGTCCAGCAGGAAGCCCTCCGCGCATAGCGCCCAACCCGAATAGCTGTTGAGAACTGTGATGACCACAGGCATGTCGGCACCCCCGATGGCCGCAGTCAGAGTGACACCCTGAGGACAACATGGCACATTGGCTAGGACAGGTTTCCCAGTCCCAAAGGACCACTCCGTACGCTGGATTACAGTCATACTAAGCTCAGTTCATTAGCCTTGACTGCAGTGTTGACTGATCATATACTTCATGTCAAACTAAATCAACACCACCTGAGGAACAGTTATCACTATACTTCACTCTTCCATCCATTTTCTAAACCTGCTTGTCCTTTACAAGGACGCTGGGGTCTGGAGCTGATCACGAAATCTATAGGCACAATCAGGCAAAATTGTCTATATTACAAATGCCTCTTATAATGAATATTTTATGTAATATTATTTTAATCAATCAATCCTTAATAATTTAGAATAATAGGGTAGAATTTGAAAGTTGCAGTGAGTCCTTTAGCAATGCATTTGACAGATTAAAAAAAATCTGGTTCACTCAATTTAGAGTGCAATCAAGGATAATTAAATAGCTCAGTCAGAACAAGATCCAGCAAACAAAGTGGACTGCCAGCTCCAGGATCTCCATCCATGGACATCCACGGACCCAGGTCCTGCTGGCAGAGATGCCCTGGTACTGGCTTCTATAAGTCACTCATGCCCTGAAGACGCTGAATCTCTGATGACCTAGTCTGTAGAACCTGGGACTTTGTTTATCTCCATTAACGACTGAATACCACAAGGTACACATATCACCTTACTGCATTTTAATGTTCTAGGAAAACATGTTTATGAGAAAGATGTAAAGTATTTCGGAGAACCTCCCACGATCTTACCATGATGGTAGAGAGCCCAGACACACCCACCAGGCAGCCCATGCCCGTCGCGTAGCTGGAGCTCAGCATGTAGGGCACCAGGCCACCCACGGAGGCCGCCATCAGACCAGCGTTCAGCATGTGCCGGCCAGGCAGCAGCAGCGGAGCCGAGTCCAGGATGCCTGGAGGCATAAGCACAAGACAAGGATCTCAAAACACACGGTAGGAGATGAAAGCAGGGGAGATGTGGTCCTCAAGACTGAAGATCAGCTCCGGAATTTCAATCGGCCGGCATGTGCGCGTTTCCCAGGAAAGGGGAAACTCCGCGAGGCCCGGTATTGATAACAGACAACGGCGTGGAGATTCACCACAAGGTCTGCTTTGCATTACCGATCTTGCTAACATAACCCAAATTTATCATAAAAACCCAAGTCAGTCATTAGACCAAATACCTAGAGGCATTCCAAAGACTGCTCTTCTTAGAAAAATTACTTTGTTATTTCCTCTGGAGTCCCTTAAATTACATGAGCATCGTTTCAAGCCATCTTTCTGAGCTCATAATCTCAAACTTTCCTCTCCAGGTTTTTTTTTATACAACTGACTTTTTCAGCCCAATTGAAGACTGTAGGACTGCCAATAAAATCACAGAAATTTCCCATATTTGACTTCTCACAAATCAATAATATTCAACTCAGGTCTCTCCTAGTTTAAGCAGTTAAAACAGAGCAAAACAAATATATGAAGACATGGAGTTGCGGTACTTGAGTACGGTCTCGAGTCCACATATGAATTGACTCGGTCTTGTCATGCACTCAGGTGAATTTTTGCTCAGTGTTGACTCACACTTGAACACTCATGATGATCATCAAATACTGAGGTGCGAATTTCTACCGACTTCTGGAAAGGAAGCATACAGACAGGTACGTAATTCTAGCAAACTCAGTTGGACTAAATGTCCGGCCAAAATTTGTTTTATATAGCACTCTATTGATGGCTATCCTGCTAGTAAGCCAATGTCTCGTAATAATAATTATTGTTGTACCTTATTAACCCCTTTTTCACATTACCCACCTTGGTCTCCAGAGAGACACAGTTGAGAGTGAAGTAGTTATCAGATCACAGGTTCATCCAGTGTTCAGAACACCTGCAGTAGTTATATTTGAAGGTCTTACTCAAGGGCCTAATGGTGATGTGATTGATCTGCCGGGAGCAGGAATCAAACCAGCCATTTTTCTGACAGGGGAGCTGTAAAGCTCAGAGCACTTGTTGTTATCAAAAGTAACATGCCATTGTAGTGTGCAGACTCCCAATGACAGAGATATCACACATAGTTTCTTACATAGTAGATCTGGCACTGAACACTATGTGTGCACTTTATCTATATTATGTGAAATTTTAAGAAACTATGAAACATTAATAAGTTCGAAAGAAACTTTGTATTTTTTTATGTGCCAATTGTTAACCAATTTTAACCACTGTTCAGCAGGATGCAGTCTTGTAACCATGTAATTAATAATTGCTACAGGATGTAGTGGAGGTGTGTTTCTGTTATATTTGTGTTTGACAAATATTTTTTAGTTGAAAACAATTGTTTCTTAGTTGGTGGTCATTTAAAGTAAATTATTTAAATATAAAAATGTGAGGTATTTGTTTAGTTTTCAGTTTATAGTCTTTGAATTTAGATTCATGGCCTAGAACTGAACTTGTGTGCTTTCTCAAATTGGAATCGGACTCGTTCGTGTCTCGGACTCGTTCCTGTCTCGGACTCGTTCGTGTCTCGGACTCGTTCCTGTCTCGGACTCGTTCGTGTCTCGGACTCGTTCCTGTCTCGGACTCGTTCGTGTCTCGGACTCGTTCCTGTCTCGGACTTGCCCCCCACTGGACTCGATCTTCACTTGAACTCAATCCGTTAAAGATATGGGTTTTACTTGCACTTTAAACAGCACTGTAAATATATATACAAAATCATTTGTTTGTATTATCCTGATAATTTGCATACGGTTATCGAAAGCATATAGATATTGTTGGCTTTAAAATTCCCAGAGTGTGTGATTGTCTGTCTGCCCTGTAACAGACCCGCACCCCATCCAAGGTGTCCCTGCCCTGTGCTCCCATCCTCACCGTCGCCCTCTACTGGTTGTGCAGTTATGAAAGCTGGCTAGCAGTGGAGAGAAACGCACCCTGAAGCTTGCCATATGCCACCAGGGAGCCGCTGAAGGTGACGCCCCCGATGTAGGTGCCTAGGTAGGCCACGGTCTTCACCATGTTGGCGGCAGGGTGCGTGTCCAGGTGTGGGTGCTCGATCATGAACTCAGCAATGCAGGTGAGCACAGCTGCTAGTCCCACCAGGCTGTGGAAGGCAGCTACCAGCTGGGGCAGGTCAGAGATCTCAATGCGCTTGGCGACTGTCAGACCTGAAGGCCAGAACAATAAAACAGAGTGACAGAATTATAATTACCTAGCATAGGGACAAGGGAAAAAACAGACAAATGCATTTGAATTTCCATATATTCTATGACAGTGTTTCTAAACCCGGTCCACGAAGACCCCTAGCCAGTCCATGTTTTTGCTCCCTCCCAGCTCCCTACTAAACAATCCACATTTTTGTGAAAAACACATGGACTGTCTGGGAGTCCACAAGCACTGGGTTGGGAAACACTGTTCTATCACACAGAACATTTTTTAATACAGAATGTATTATGGCACATTAATTCCCAGTTTTAAAAAGCCAGCCCACATGGACATCCCAATAAAAAATAAAAAATTTTAAAGCTTCTTGTAAGCTTTTTGTTATCCAAGACCAAACAGGGCTGTACTGGAAAGAAAAATATGGACAGTCTGGGGTTCCCCAAGGACGGGTTTGGAAAACACTGTCCTATGATACTGAACATTTTTTGATGTGCATACAGTACAATATGGTGCATTAATTCCTGCTTTTAAAAAGCCGGCCGACATGGAAATCCCAATAAAGCCTTCCATTATCCAAAAGCTTAAACTGGGCTCTGCTGGACAATGACTGGATACTAGGTATGTGGGTTCCCACTGTCCTCTTGAGATCCAGTAATTCATTTTTGTCCTCTGTAGAAGACATTATGTTCTTGCTGATATCTTTCATACAATACATGCTGCTCTATTATGTCATGCTGTTCCTTTAAGAAGCTGTAAGGTGACATCACATGTGTGGGGTGTGATTTTGTCAACCTCCTCTTCCCGTCAAATCAAAATTTTAATCAATATTAAAAAACTATTTTTGCCTGGATCTCCAGGAGGACCTCAGGCCCCTCTTTCAGGCCCCTGTTTAAATGGAAAAGACAGGCTAAGCAGTGAGATTAAAAAATTAGTTCCTTTCCATTCCTGCCGACTACGTAAATACAAAAAGTCACCTGACCCTCAACATCCAGCCTCTTAAGATAAGAAACATGGTGTCTGAAGGTATAGAATATTTGTCTCCAACACGCCATCTTTCCTCTCCCACATCTTCACCTTTGTCATTGTTATTTTTATTTATTTACTTTTTTTTTTACCTTAATGTTATAATACATCCCTAAAGTGCCAGGTACAAAACCTTCCTTAAGGACAGTGCTTTGAAGGTTACTATTATGCAGTGCATGGCAAAGAGAAATCTTTTGACTCAATTAGCAATGAACATGTCAGAGAATTACAAACATCAAAGGCCAAAGAACGCCATACGATGTGGACTTAAAGCAAATGCAAACATAATAAAGTGTAAGAGAATGCACTGGGCTTAACCATCTGAAGGCGTCTGTGAGTGCCCACTGATTTCTACCAGCTGCTTGCATTCATCAGAGAATTAAATGCTCATTTGTTACATCAGCTACACTGCAGGCCAACCCAGGTGATTAATGCTAAAATATAGTATTTTCCATCTTTCAGATCATTCTTAGAAACAAGAACAGCAAGAAAATTATGGAATTAACATCAAAGGCTGTGATGTTTATGACCTAAATATACTTAAGGCAGGAGATTAACTGTGCTTTTAAAGCTTTAAGAGTGGTAATGCCTTCTTTCATCCCCTATCTTTATGTTTTTGATGTAATGTAACCCTTATGAATGTAGAAATACCATAAATGCCTGAGAAATTTGCACTGACTGTTTACTACCACGACACTTAATGCTGCATTTGATCAGTCATACTGGTCCTGCTTATATCTAAGGCATCGTTAATGTAATCCAGTGATGTCTTGTGATTTTGAGGTTTTCCGTAAGTGTGCTATGATAAAGTGTCAAGTCTGTCTTTTGATGTTGCCTTGCTTTAAAATTTCAGTTTTTAATAATGACAGCAGTTTGAACACCTGACCGTAGTTGGCGGTAGCGAATTAAGCGGCCGCTGTACCCACCGATCGTTCCCCCAGTGGCCATTGCCAGGGACATCTGAGAGAGCAGCTCGGGGGAGGGTTTGAGGGCCCCCAGGGTGGCTGCGAGGCCCCCAGCCACTCCGATGATGCCGAGGGCATTTCCCAGCCTGGAGGTGCCCTGTGCGGACAGCCCCGCCAGCGCTCCCACGCAGCACAGCCCAGAGCCGAGATATATCATCTGCAGATGGGAAAACACAGCCATCTTGGCGATGAGCATCAAACTGGCGTTAGGGATAATCTCAGCTACTCAGAGGCCAGAGAATGTGTTCAACACAGCCTGTCAACACTCCTCCTGTCTCTCTTGTGCCCGTTACACGCATACAGTATTTACTCCACTGAATTCATGTTTCTGTCGCTCTTTTCCCTATTGATGTATTTCCCACCTGCTCGATGTTGTAGCCGCCCAGGATGCTAGCGCCGTATCCACCTATGAAGGCAGCGCCAGGGATGCCGTACAGGTAGTTATACTCGGGGGGGTCTGTGGGCCTTTTGAACATGTCCAGCATCCTCTGAGTGATGAGGAAGCCGCCTGTAGGCAGACAGTGACAAAAGGCAAGATATGTGATGTGAAGGTAAAACACTTTATGTGGAGACATGAGACGGAGATACACGATGGAGTCACATGATATGCGGTCACATGGTGTGGAGTCACATGGCAGCGTAATGAGTGAAAGAACAGAGTGAAAGTGTAGAGTGCTGATAACCCAAGCAAATGGCTGGCAAAAGCTGCGGGCCTCGCAGTAAGGCTGTCAGCCCTGCCAGGGGGCCCTTACCCGCAATGTTTATGGAGGAGACGAAGGCTGCCAACAGGGCCAGGGTCTCCGGGATGCTGGAGGGGGTGAGACCCCCACCCATTAGTGCCAAACCACCCACTGCAGTCAGGCCTGCAGAGAGAAATGTGGCCTTTCACATTGATACGTCTGCACCCAAGTGGGGACTCATTCATTTCTATGGGGAAAACTCTAATCCCAACAATGACAACCTTAACCCCTACCCAGCCCTAACCTTAACCAAACAAAATGCAAGACTTTTGTCTTTTTTCCCTTTTTGACTGCATTCACAGATCTTTGTGGAGATCTCAGAAATGGTCCCCACAAAATTTCATCACATTGTGGAGGACCCCACAATGTAATATAAACCTAATCCACACACACACACACACACACACATGGGAGTGCAGTCCCTGACCTGAGATGGCATTGGTAACAGACATCAGCGGGGAGTGCAGGGCAGGGGTGACCCCCCAGACGGTGTGGTAGCCCACGATCCCGGCCAGGCCGAATGTGGTCACCATCTGCGTAAAGGCAGCGTTGGGGGAGACAACGCCGAGTCCAAGCACTGCGGAAAGACCTGGGGAGCAGAGGGGGGGGGGGGGGGGGGACGTTCTACCTGAGTCTCCTGTCCAGGACCCTGGGCTTCCTAACAAGGGCCAAAATTGGCCCGGCAGTGTTTCCTGAGAGCTGCATCTAACAATAATATCACGTGTACTTTTTGTACAGCCAAGGTGAACAGCAAAAAAAGGGAAAAACTCAACTGGATGCCTGGTCCTAAAAAACAAGTACCTAGAGACCAAACGATTTTGAAACAGCAGTATCTGGCTTTCCTGTGGATCCCTTTCCAGGCCCCAGTTACTGAGACCACATGGGTATTATTTACCGACTGCGCACACGGGCATGTCAGTGGCATGCAGAGGCCGGACGCAGCACCGCTGACCTGCCGTGTAGATGCAGGCGGACGTCATGGTTCGCCTGAAGGGGGAGATCTCAGCCAGCTTCTCGGCGTTGAGTTCTGCCACCGTTTTCTGTTTGAGCGGAGCTGGAGGAGGGGAAGTCTTTGGCAATGGAGATGGGAAAAGATTTTTGCCGTCCTAGAAAGCGCAACATTAAAATAAAGCCATTACATTCAAAAGACATTTTAGAACATTATTCCTGTTCATCTAGCACAGGCTATTAGACAATCCCATTATCTATCACTGTTTCACAGTGGGGAGCTTGCTTGGAAAACATAATTAACATATTAAAGTAAAATAAAAATAATTGAAAATTACATTTAATGTACTACTAATTTCTGTTTTCTACATTCCCAGGTGCCTTGCCAGTTGCCGTGTTTTGGTAATAAAAGAAGCACATTTTGCGGTTTGGATGGTTCAGCCCATTCAGAAACAAAGAAAAACAGGGCTCAGGGTGGGCAAACTGACAAGGAATTTTATGTTTGAAAAAGGGACTTAATGTCGCCCCCTGCTGTAAAAACACAGCAGACTTACCTTCATGACCACGGTGCCCCGAACGACATGGTCGACTGTTCCATAATCAAAATCATCCTTGGGCTCAAAGTAAAAGTATTCCTTGTCGGGACTGATGGCCTTCAGTAATTTCAAAATATTATTTGAGTACAGTGAGCTGGCTTGTGTGGCCATCCGGCTTGGCAGATCTGTGTACCCAACGTGTGTCACGCCCTGACAATAGATGGAAAAAAACGGTCACACAGTGCAGATAACTTGCAACCACATCCTCCAGATCTCACTCCTCTTCTTCTTCCTGCCAAGATATGAGAAGATATTTAAGAAATGCTCACCTTGTGAACGTATAGCTCTCCAGGTTTTGTGGTCTCTATGTTGCCCCCAGCCTCAGCAGCTAGATCCACCACCACGGAGCCATCCCTCATGGACTCGACCATTTCGGTCTTGATAAGGATGGGAGCTCTCTTTCCTGCAGGAGGGGAATGTCAGACTTACAGCACTGTTGGGAGTGGTCATGGATGGGCGTGGTGCTCACCTGGAATGAGCGCAGTGGTAATGATGATGTCCACGTCTTTACACTGTTTGGCAAACAGCACCATCTCCGCCTCGATGAACTCCTTGGACATCTCCTTGGCATAGCCGCCGACGCCCTCCCCGGACTCCTTCATATCCACCTCTAGGGGCTCAGCTCCGAATGACTTAAACTGCTCCAGGGCAGCAGGTCTGGGGGCAGGGAAATGAAGCACAGTACATACTCAGAAGAGCGCAACCTTGTCTGCAAGGTAATTAGTGCAAAAAGTCACGCCTTGGTCACCTGGTGTCAAATCCCCTCACGATGGCACCCATCGATTTGGCGGCCCCAGCTGCAGACAGACCTGCAACGCCACCACCGATCACCAGGACCTGCACAGAGGGACCAAGGTGTCAACAGAAAGTGCTCCAGATACAGTGAGGATCCGAATTTGCCTTTGATGTTATAGAGGTTCCTGTGCATGATCCCGCATTACGGTTAGACGTGACACAGGAGTGGAGGGTGCATACCTTGGCTGGTGGTACTTTCCCAGCAGCAGTGATCTGGCCAGTGAAAAATCTTCCAAAATGATTGGCTGCCAGGACAACAGCCTTGTACCTAAACAAAATAAAGCCCAATCAAGGCAGCAATCTTCCATCTATCCATAACAATGTATGCCGTACAGGGTCACACCTGAAACCTATCCCTGGAAGCACAGTGCTCAAGATACCCTGGATGAGATGCAAGTCCAAGGCTGGGCACTCGCTCAAACAATATGGGCAATTTAGAGACATCAGTTCATCAAATCACATGTTTTTGGACTGGAGAGCCTGGGAAAACCTGCACAAATATTCTGGACATGTAACTATGCCAGGCAGTATCTTCTGCTGGTCCTCCCATAAAGATACATTATCTCACCCTGCAATGTTGGCCATGGAGCTCAGTGCATCATAACCTTGAGCTATTGTGACCCTCGGCACCTGGTCCATGGCCAGGACGGTACACTTCTGGCTGGAGAGCTTCTCCATGAGGTCAGGATTTTGTGCTGGGTAGATGAAGCTCACGAGTGTGGACCTGGGCCTGAGCAATTCAGCCTCGTGCCTCCCCATGGCGTCATTAAACACTGGTGCTTGTACCTGCAACCAGAGGCAAAATGAAGACACAAAGATATTTCCATGATAAACCCATGTGGGTCTATTACGGGCCATTAGGACCCTGCATAATTGAAGCAACAGTTTGTTTCACATTGTCTGCAGTAAATTTTACTTGCTCTTGGTGGGTGTTGGACTTTGAAAGGGCTACACTTTGTCATCAATTTAGTTCATAAGTCTTATGGATACAATGTTTCAGCACAGTCAAGGGGTGGAGGGTGTCGAGCTTGGTGACCTCAGGATCATATCTTTGCTTTTTGCAGATGTTTTCCTGTTGAATTCAAAGAGCAGTAACCTTCAGCATACACTGAGGTAGTTTCGTCTGATCTCATCTCATCTCATCTCATCTCATTTCATCTCGTCTCAATTCAATTCAATTCAATTCAATTCACTTTATCCTCAATGGGCAATTAAAAAGGTGTGTGGATTAGCACAGCAGCCATTCACACATGACAATAAATACAGAATAAAAAGGACACATCGCTGTTAGGCAAACCTTAATGCTGTGTGTTCTGATAAAGTTCCATTAAAAACTTCCATTAAAAGTTCCTTTAATATGATGCCAAATCACTGATATTGAGACTTGAGTAGCTGGACAGTCCTGAGGACAATGGTTGTCGTTCTCCTCTGTGTCCTGCAACCTGGACAGCGAAGCCTGTGCCCTGAAGGGAGCCATTCAGACACAGGGAACAGGATGTGTGAGGGATCAAGATGCTGAGTACTGATTGGGCCTCGAGAATCCTGGGAGTCAGAGGGTGTACTGCCCCCTCCAGGTTGGGGATGAGTTCCTGCCTCCCTCAAATGGAGAAGTTGTTGTATCTCAGGGTCTTGTTTATGAATGAGGGTACAATGGAGCAGGAGATAGACAGGTGGATTGGTGCAGCTTTTGATTTACCAGTCAGTCTGCGTTTGGTCACGAGTTTTGTGTAGTGACCAAAAGAATAAGATCGCAGATACAAGCGGCGGAAATGCCTTTCCTTCTCAGGGTGTCTGGGCTCAGCCTAAGCGATAGGGTGAGGAGCTCAGACATTCAGGAGGGGCTCAAAGTAAAGCCGCTGCTCCTCTGCGTCAAAAGGAGTCAGTTGAGGTGGTTCGGGCATCTATGTAGGATGCCTTCTGGACGGCTCCTTGCGGAGGTGTTCCAGGCATGTCCAACCAGGAGGAGAGCCCGGGGCAGATCCAAGACACGCTGGAGAGATTATATTTCTTCGCTGGCCTGCAATTGCCTTGGTATTCCCCCGGTGGGGCTAGAGGAGGTGCTGGTGAGAGGGATGGATGGATGGATGGATCCACATGGGACTCCTTTTATCTTGAGCAATGTCACACTTTTTAATTATGTCAAACTAGATACACATAATACTCACCTTCAGGACAAGATCTGAATCGAAGCTACTCTGCGTGTCAACTATCGTGGCTCCAGCTTCCCTGTAATGCTCATCCGAGAACTTTGACTCCTCCCCAGCTCCTGTCTCCACCTGTACCCTGAAGCCCTGCTTGACCAGCGCCTGCACACCGGCCGGTGACACGGCCACTCTCCGCTCATTCTTGAAGGTTTCCTTGGGGATGCCCACAAGGACGTCCGAGTATCGAACACCTGGGAAGCAGACACACGTGGTAACGTTCATACTATGGTCCCACTCTGAGGCCTACCTACCAAGAAATACCAGTGTATTTGGGAAGATGACATTGATGATTAGATGGGAGCTACTAATAGGCCCATTCAATAACGAGTCACTTCCTGAGTCTTGACTGCAACAGCAAAAGGTCACAACTCCATTCCACCACAGCAACGAACCCAGATTATGTAAAGAATGACTGAACGGAAGTAGTACTTGACTGTACCATGATGATGGGGGGGGGGTGCTGTGTAGACAGCAAACACTGAATTGGAAGAAACCACTCAAAAGCTGGGGGTGGGTTAATAATATAAAGAAGTGCTGAATGTAGAAGAAGATGGTTTAAAAACAAAGTCTTCTACCACTTGCTTTAAAACGCTTCTTGTTTTAAGCTCTACCTCAAAAAAAGTACAGCAAAAGACGACAATACGAACGCAATCCCTGTTTGACAGGCCTTGCTCAGCCTGCTGATATATTCCATGCAGGGTCCAGTTTCACATATCTGTCCTTAATTGGCATGGTGAACTTCCAGCGCCAGCTAGACATTATTAGCAGCTGCTTGGCAGCCTGCCGCTCCCACAGCCCCGGACTGGGCCTCCCCTGCCTGGCCGGCTCGCAAGTTCCCTGTCCTTAACTAACGCGCGGAGGATCCAGCGACACACTGGGAGTCTCACACAGGCGGAAGGGCTGTGACCTTGCCTCAAGGTTCCTATGACAAAACGGTGCTCTGGACCAGAACAAAAAAACACAAAAGGCTGGAATGTGCCTTTCACCTTTACGCGACCTCTCCTGAATATAAACTTAAGTAAACATCAGCAAGCAGCAGCCAGTTTCTCAGTGGATGAGGTGGGGGTCTAATCCCACAGCGTTAAATTAACATCATCCACAACTTATTCTCTGATACGCTTTACACTGATTTAACTTGTTCAAGATCTAGACAACATTTGTTCATAAACTTTTGAAATAAACACAAAGAAGTGGAATGAAAGTAAACAACACTCAGCAGGAAGACTTCATACCGAAAATGAAATAAACAGGGAGTTTGCCAAGGGTATCTGTTCCATACCTTTGGAAGCTTGCTGGTTCCACAGGACAGGGAACGTTCTGAAGTATCTTATTCCAGAGATCTTCTGCAGGGCACCGGGATGCAGCAAGGGCACCGAGCAGCTGGACACGCATCGCAGCAGGGAGGACATGTCTCACGCGTCTGTCCTGCTCTTTACAGGTGCAGGTGTGCTACGGGAGAGGTGCGGTATCTGAGACAGAGCTCGCAATCAGATGTCAACAGGCATATTTTCTCAGGCAGAAAGCTGTCCCGGTTGCCCCGCGCACACTGTCAGCTCACAGGCCCAGGAACTGCAGTGTGACACTATAGCTCTCCAGGATACAGTGCCACCCAGTCATGTGGGACAGTCCAGATTCGCGAGAACTGGAAATGTGACGACTGTGGCAGGGGACACAGAGCCAAGAAACTCTACTCGCCTTCAGCCTGGAATATGCACTTAGATCATATCTACACATAAAGTCTGCTGTAGAAAACATTAACGGGGTTACTAAAGATAGGAATTTTATAGTAGAATGAAAAATATTTCAAAAAGGTGATAAAATATTTGTTTTGCAGTGAAATACATGGAAACTGTGATTTAATGTTAGTTAAAAAAAAAATTACTGGAAATTCATTTATCTCTTTTTTCAATTGCAGTATTTTCTGATGTTTATGACAAACAGAACTTCGAGCAACTTGGAGTAGTAAGAAAAAAGTTCAACAGCAACAGGGGAGTATTTAAAATCTCACTAACCTCGGTCCAGTGAGTCTTCTGTTAATATAAATGACTCCCGTGGTATTTTTTGTCAATACAGATAGACGTAAATGCAGATTTTATGGTCATTGTGACCTTGACGTCAAGGTGCCCCCTTCGGGTTTCGTTAGCTCAGTTTTACCTCTATAAATAGTGGAACCACGTGATTCACATGCCGTCCGCGGCCGAAAACAGACACAAGTTCGGCGTAATTCAAACACCGCTGTAGACCGGCTTTCATACGGTCTTCAAACAAAAACGCTGCCCCGTTCATTATTGTATAAAGGTAATACACGCAGGGTTCATTTCACAAATATAAATTACAGTAATTGAGCTTTAAAGAAAAAGCGTGTATCTGAAGCCATTTTTTAAGTATAACTGGTAAAAAAAATAGATTTATTTATAGTATCTACAAAGCACTTAAAAGTTATCCAACTAACTTTTCGCTTGATTTTGAAGTTTTTTTAGACTATACTTTGAAATTTGGTGCCACCTTCTGGTCACAATAATGAACTATTACTACTTGTGGAAGAGCAATAGAGATGCAAATACAGTATATGATTTAAAGTGCTTCACCTGATGTGTAGATGTCTAGCACCCGAAGAAACTGTGTTCTTAAAGGTTTCCTCGTTGCTTGTGACCTACCGCATAGGTGTTATCCGCCAATACAAAGAGACAGGCCTATCTAACCAACAAACTAGCCCAAGACTTATGTGTCCCAGCACTGAGGTAAATTAAACTTTGGTTACAGAGATTCTTGATGATAGTTAGATCAAGGTAAATTGCCTGTATAAATAACAGACTGGAGCTGTGATGATGCTATGCTTGATGAATCTGATGGAGGTTGGCACTTATGTTCTGCAGGGAGCACTGATTGTCAAGCCACATGATCTCAGGTGCTCCTCCATAACGTTACTTTTAGTGAGTTTGAGCCTTTGTCAGTCAAAAGGAGTTTTATTCTATTCGGATGACCCCTTCAGCTGTGGCATTCCATGAGGATGTGATGCATCTCTTGTGAGAGATCAATGGTATTTCTCATAACGATATCCTTTAATGAAACTGATATTTTGATCAATACCCCTCTAATTATCCTGAGTTCATGAAACTCTGTTGGGACTGGGAACACTGGAATCTTCCAGTCTACCAAGTTCCAGAAATGTCCTTAATTCCACTTTCAATGCACCCCTTAAGTCTTCAGGCTACCCTTTCCTAACTTGGCATCACGGTGACTCTGTGCTGGTTGGCATCAGAGTGACTGCTCAGTGCTGGTTGGCATCAGAGTGACTGCTCAGTACTGGTTGGTATCAGAGTGACTGCTCAGTGCTGGTTTGACTCATACCTTGTAACTGACAAGTGGCTTGAGGTGCAGAGGAGTCCAAATCACATCAGGTAACAACCGGTGTTCCCCAAGGCTCTGTCCTTGGTTCTCTCCTCTTCTCTGTTTATGTTTTCTGTCTAGGCCAGATGATCCAGTCAGATGGCTTCTACTACCACTGCTATGCTGATGATATCCAGATCTACTTGATCTTCATTCTTGACGGCACCATAATTTCTGCTAGTCCATGCTAGGTTGACATCGCAGCCTGGATGAGGGACCAACACCTCCACTTAATCTCTCTAAAATGAGCTTCTTGTCATCCCTGCCAGCACTATAATTCATACTGACGTGATTGTTCAAGGACTACCAGGAACCTAGAGGTAATGACACACGACCAGTTATCTTTTGCTGAGCACATAAAAGCATTGTCCCAATCTTACAGGTTTACCCTGTATAACATCAAGAAGATCAGGTCTTTACTTTCTGAATATGCAGTTCAGTTTCTAACCCAGGCACTTGTCACTAATGGCTAGACTATTGCAACTTTCTGCTGGCAGGTCTACCAGTTTGTGCTATCAGTCTACTGTAGATGATCATGATTCAAAACATGGCAGCATGTTTAATATTCATTCAGACTAAACATTTTCATGTCACACCTCTCCTTGTTTCTCCTCACTGGCTATCTATTGGCGCTGGCATTAAGTTCAAGTGCTTGGTTCATCAATGGGCTGGCTCTCATCTTCATTAAAAGGCTCCTCGAGACCAATGTCCCATCTCGCCCCCTCTGGTCAGCAAATCAACAACACCTGGACCTCCTTCCAACATGGGAGAAGTGTCACTGCATACAGTTTTCTTGTGTGGTTCCCTGATCGTAAACAATAAACAATTCATAAAGAAATACATGCTGGCCTGGGGTGAAATAATGAGCCTTCTTGGTCTGGTGCAGGATACATCGAAAAGAGGAACCCTGGAATTTTACTGTCAGTCTCTCTGTCTGAATGCTAGGAGTGATTCTACTCCATTGGGCCCTTGAGCAAGGCTCTTAACCTGCGATTGCTTCTTCCTGGGTATGATGTACACCTACATCCAACCCTGCAAGCAGGTCCTCCAACTTTCAGGGAAAATGTGGGGGATTGGCAATTATGAGGTATCACCCGCCACACGGCTGCACTCGGGTTCTCATCCCTAAGCTGGTTCGTCCTGTGGTGGGTATCAGCGCACGCTCCTTACCTTACCTCACTGTGCAGATCTCTGTTTCTACACCACTGGTGGATTCCTGCAGGCCATCAGTGATGCACATGGCCTCAGCAAGGCTGCTGTGTCCAAATCTGTGCCTGTGTTGGTCACATTTCTGTTGCATCATGTTTACAACTACATACAATTTCCAGCAGGAGAGGATGCCTCGCATGACGATTGGTAAATACTCGTAGATTTCACTTGTTCTGTACCTATCTTCATTATCTTACTCGTTATTCACTAAGATCGATTGCTTTCTGGAAACAGCCCTGACTGTTTGTACTGATATCCAGTCGAAACTTACAAGTTTCTGTTATATCTCCAGTGTTGCTTGAACTGCATTACTTCTGTTTAATTGCCCTACTTTTGCTATCAGCCCTTTATTTGTTTACTGGAATTGATCATTTTAATTCATTTGGATTTTTTTTTACTATGCATACCTTGTTGTATCTTGTTATTAGACAATAAATTGGTGGTGTTTAATTATTACATTTGGTATTTAATTGTTGTTTTTAACAGAGTAGTCAATTTTTATTTGGCTATTCCACAAATTAGTCATAGTCGATTTTAATCAACACAAAAATAATTGTTAGGTGCAGCCCTACACATGTGTTTGCCGGGTTTAATAAAGCAGACTTTTTATTGTTTGCACATGCTGTTTTGTGGCTTTTGTTGTCCATGTACTTTCACGCTGAAATTCACATTAAGTTTGATAAATGAGGCCCCAGGTGAGGCTGTGTGCCAAGCACTGTTAATGGAAGTACCAAGACTTTTATTTTAATACAATTTATAAGCTGAATTGTTGAATAGCATTTCTTATGCAGCAGTGTGTTGGCACAGTGGTTAGCTCTGATGTCTCTGGTACTTGGGTTCTAGTCTCTGCTGTGGCTCCATATGTGTGATGTTTGCATGTTCTCCCTGTGTCATTGTGGGGTTTGCTCTAGATATTCTGGTTTCCCCTCACAGTCCAAAAAACATGCTGAGGTTAATTACCAAATAGCGTGTGTGTGTGTGTGTGTGTATGTGCCCTGCGATGGGTTGGCACCCCATCCTGGCTTAGTCCCTGTCATGCTCCTGTAGCTTCTGGGATGGGCTCCATACTTGGGGGGAAAGTTAGGGTGACTCCATGGGCCCCTGACTGACTGGGGCCCCAAAAATGTTCATACAGTTGGATTGGTCTGCGTTGAGGGTCCAAAATCTCTAGCAGGACCCCTGCTCCAGACCCTCACAACCCTAAACAGGACAAGTGGTTATAGAACATGGATAGATGGTCATTTTTGCCAGTTCCATAGAATCAAGTACAAGATTTTCATGTGTTCAGAAATACTAGTTGGGCAGGCAGGCTTTGAGAGGTGAATAGTTGGTGTCTTAAGTACCCAGACCCCATCTGCAATTCTTATTGCTGTATGTCAGACATGAGACAGGAGTCTGCAGTTATTTACTTGTATCACATGCCCAGAATATGAGCTTTAAATCCCACTTCCTCTCTACCCACGTGGGGAGTTCGCATGCGATTTGCAGGCCATGTGGGTTCCCTCCAGGTACCCTGGCTTCCTTCCGCAGTTGCTGCCTGGGAGAGGTGACCCTGAGTATGAGGAGCGGTTAGGAAACGCATGCATTGCCGCGTCTGGAACGGTGGGCAAGAGACGCCGGGCTTAAAAAACAGAGATGTGACTTTATCAGAGGCTGAATGAGTCATCAAATGAATCAGAATACAAGAGGAATAAAAAAAAAAAAAACTAAATCAAAAAAAGGCGAGGAGGAGATCTGTAAATAGTCCCAGGTGAGATGCGACGATGGCAGGAGTTGTGTTTAGCTGCAGAGGAGCAACTGTGGGACCACGGCAGGCAGATTTAGCAGAGCCTTTACCAAGTGTATATGTCTGATGGGAGGTGAACATCTCTGCGGCTTGAGGCAAATAAACACAGGGCTGTGAATTCTGATTATACACACATGTATTCCATTTAAACAGGGAAGGCCTCAGTTCAAATAAATCATTTAAAAAAATAAATAAACGAAATTACATACATTTTTCATCATGTTATAAAAAGTGGCACTTTATGTATAAATATATAAACCCATGCAGGTATGTACAATCAATGGTGGATTTGCAATTAGCTGACATTTTCCATTCACAAGGGACAGTATCAGGGCAACAGAACGTTACACATTCCTTTGTAAAACACTGAGAGAATAAGCCATCATCACATGTGGGATACTCACTGGCGGAGATCTATGCTCTTTAGTAAGGCTCATAGTAAAGAGTAAAAAACGACTTTCCCCATGTGATGCAGTGACACGCAGCATATGACCCCCCCCCCCCCACACACACAGATACGTGCAGGGAGCAGCTTCTCACCGATGTTCACACAGAGTGACGTTCCAGGACTTTTAGCCTTCGGGAACCAGCTGGAGGTGTGTCCCAAGGCAGCCTGCAGTCCCTTCGAGATCCTTCTTATGTTTTTGCCGATTTGTATCTCTGTGTGCTCAGCGATCGTTCGTTTATCACCGGGGCAGGAAGCAGTAAACCAGACCGATTGGCATGGAGTAAAAATATTATGCCGACAACACTGGCCATCTGCAAAAGCTGACAAAATAGTGTATTTTTGAAGATAAAAATGTTTACAAAGGCAATTTATTATGATATTAGTTGTGCTGAGAGGCCTTCTTTAAGCGGTATCCTCTAACTTTCAGTTGTATTGACTTAACTCTTAACTCTTTCCAGATGTTTAGTGTGTTCCCCTGAAGTACCCAGTCTGACAACTGTAGCTCATTAGCTGAGTTTGGTGAAAATTATTTACAGTACACTCTGCTGTCTGCCAACAGCCATGTCCAGCAAAGATATCACACCAGTGGTCACATGACCAAATAAAACCGAACTGGCCACACACACTTTACAGCCATCTAGCCTCGGGTAGGAGAACCACCAGTATGACACCATTCACTGTACTCAAAATGCATTGTTTTGAAAATGTGGCAATAATCTTCCCAGTATTTTACAGTGCAACACCTGGATCAAATGCTTGCCTTTAAAAATGGATGCTGGGCTATTTGTGCAGCACTTGCAATAGCATAAACACAGTGGCCAGAAGGAGTTAAAGTATTGCCCAAATACTCCTCAGAAACTGAGCTGGACTCAGTGTTTCCATCTGGATGCCTCCAGGGTCTGAGTGCTCCCTTACTGGCCCTGGGTGTTCTCGCTTTCCCTGGTTCCTGAGCCACTGCTCCAGGCTACCACTGTGGTGCCTGTAGCTGGATCCCCTCTCTTCCTCAGGAGACTGAAGACGGGAACGGCCACCTTCATGTTCCTCCCCGACGTGATCAGCTCCCCGTAGCCCTCCTGGTGGGAGAAGGCGTAGGCCGACCGGCGCGAGCTGGTCCGCCGCACGCGCTTCAGGTTCTGCTCCTGCGGACGCTGCCTCCTGCTGGCCTGCTGAGTGTGGCGCACCTGGAAGTCAAAGTAAAAATATGCTCAGAAGCCCAGAAAAATATCAGTGTGGCAAGAAATGGCAAAATACCACGGAAAGTGAACGTGAAGAACAACATGGTCAAAGCTGGCAGTAAATCTCACATGAAGAAACGGGGATTTTTAATGTACTTTGATTGTGTACATTTCTGTGCAAATAGTTTTTTGTAGAATTCCAAAACAAAAATCTGTGAACTGCAAAAACATACAATAAACATACAGAAAATATTGTTATCTTATCTTTGACATTTTTCATGAAGCATTTTGCAGAATAACATTCATGGAAGCTTTAACATTTGTGGCTCTTCTTAACAGTTAAAGCTGGTCGTTTCCAGGCCACATTTCATTCTCTCATTGCTTGCTGTCCTGCGATTATGCGCCATGCTTCCTCTTTGCACATGAAAAGCGCGCCGCATAATACCTTGTCAGTCATAGTTGGGTAGAGGTCAGTTCTCAGAAATCGCACAACCAGGACGGGCATGACACACACTGTAGTGGTGAGGAGAATAACCAACCAGACACCTGTCTGGGTCAGGGTGTTCCGTGCGGTGCCTGGGAACCAATCATACCAAAGCTGGGGTCAACTAGCACAACTTGGAACTCAAACACTGAGGACACCAAAAACCCTTTAATACACTGACATCAAACAACACTTAGCTCAAGAGCGCCTGAGATCATTATAAATACAGTACTTTATAGAGAGCATTTTAAGAGCAGCAAGCCCCGATGTAGAAAGTCTATTTTAAGAGAATATATCTTAGCTGAAAGTTGAAATACAAGAAATGCTGAATGCTCAAACTTACCAAGAAAAGGGAAGTGGCTTGGGAATATGGTGAAAATACCATTACTGTGCATAGCGAACAATATACAGAAGTAAATAGTCAGGCTCCCCCATACATAGAAATGATTCACAGCAGTCCAGTAATTAGTGTCGAGTCCAATCTGGAAAAAAAAACGCATCCAGAAAAAGCAGTTTTCAAACCTTCAAGGACAAAACAGGGATTTTCATTTTCATGCTGTTACATTTAAACCCTTAGCTGGCCCCTTTTCTCACTGGCAATTTCTAATTGTCTAAAAAAGCTATTTGCACATCTGAATATTTTAGTGCGGCGATTCAGGTTAAGTACTTTGCTCAAGGGTGCTACACAAAATTCCTGGTGGGACTGAGCTGGCAGCGTGTGATTCATAAGGCAGCCCTCTTAACCTCTCAGCTAACTGCTGCTTCTGTCAAGCAAAACTGCTGGAACTCGGCGGTTAATAGGGAGGGTAAGATTCAATCAAACGATTTGTATCAGCGCAGTGACATAAGAGTTCATGAAGCGATTGTCCCGGATCACGGGCGTAAATCATGGGTGGGTTGTAACCCTTAATAATCAAAACCAGTACAATAATCATGTCTCCCCCTAAATGGGTGGAGAATTCGACCCTCCCAATGTTTAAACCAAAGTTACACCCTGGCCCTGAATACAGTGTGCACTGGATACAATTTGGGATGACTTTGGGGTGAATGGTTCTTTGCATTGGTAAAATCTGATTAATTAATATATAATTATTAGTCAAGGCCCTATGCCTTTATTATTTAAAAATGTGACCAATAATTTTATATTTAAACTGATTCCCTCTCTCTAAACTGTTTATCTATCTCTACCATATTGAATTGCATTGCATTATATTCTTTTGCATCGCATCATATTGAGTTGAATCACATCGTGTTGAATTGAATTGTATCGAATCGCAATGCATCGCAATAGGGGTCAATCACATTGCATCGCATTAGTTGCTTCATATTTATGTTAAATGTATCAGATCACTGGCAATGTATAGACTGCATTAGTGTGAGTGGTAGTGTGCATCAGCGATGGAGATGCACACCCCTGGTGGTTAAACAAGGCACATGTAGGTGGAGCTTTTAGATGTAGCATGACGCAAACCCAAGAGCTGCAGTAACATCACCCCAGCCGAGTAGCGTGTGCTCACCTGGACACTCACAACGATCACCAGGGACGTCGCTATGGTGACAGCAAATGACTGCTGGTCTGCGATGTGGGAGCCGTCATCTCTGACGTTGCTGGAGAAGGCCCCGTAGGGAATGAAGAACAGCACGAAGGAGGTGTAGATGCCATGCAGGGTGCACATGAAGAACTGACGCTTGTTGAACAGCACATTCAGCTGGCCCAGCTCATACAGCTTGGGGTGCCGGAGACTGTTCTGCTCGTTCACGTCCTTTGGGATATTAACCAGTGTATGCATTAGGCCTGGGAGGTTGAACTCTGTTATTTGAATAAAATACAAATACTAAAATATTTACATATCAAATGGCAGAAAAATATACTTTTGAATTTTAGAAGATTCATGCAGACTACTGATCATCTAATACAAATTTACTCATTTTTGTTTTGCTTAATAGCCCCTGTCGCTTGATGTAGAATAAGGGATCTGCCATTAGCAGGAGATTTCTGTAAATTAATCCAGCCAACTAGAATGGGTGAAACTATCCTGCAAGGAAGCTAGTGAAAAAAATATGTGAATCAAAGTTAAATGCGGTGATACAGTAACTCCCAAAAACCGGAAAAGCACAGTCCCGAAAATGGACTTTGCCAGCAATCTTTATGGTGGGGATCCCAGCCCACGCTGTGAATTTTATTGCTAAGATTTCAAAACACCTGAAGAGTGTTACTTTGGAAAATGCTGTCAAAATATTCATATACCATATATCACGTATGGACAGTATGACAGAATGAAAGATAAACACTGGCCAAGCCTAGTTAAATGGAGCCTAAATGAAAGACAGCATTTGATTAAGCTATTTTGATAAGCTATTTTATGCACATGAGTCTGTGTCAGCTATCTAAGCAATCATTTGATATTTTAATTTCATGCCAAAATTGAAACACCTTTTTTCATTGCTGCAGACATTCCTGTCCTGTGAGTAGCTACATTAAAATGTGTTATTATTAGGGCTGAAAAATGTATTGTGTTAGCATTAATTTTTAAGTCATAATGCATTTTTTTTGATCGCGTTAACACATGCAGTATTTTGCTACACGAATCGGAGATTAGCATGCGGATAGCATTTAATAGAAACCTATAATATTCTTTCCTGGTTGTACTCCCCCTTTATGTTCATTCTACATTCATTTGGGGATTCAGTGTATAAATATTTATGATAAGTTTTAAGATTAGGTGCAAATAATCGTGATTAATCACACACTGTGAGATGAATTAGTTAATTTTTTAACTCAATTCACAGCACTAGTTATATATTACTGCCTCCTCATCATTTTCCTTACTTAAGACAGTAGATTTTGGGTTTCACCTTTCATGCTTGTTTGCACACTGACTGCGGTGTGATGAAGAGCAGCGTTCATACAATAATTAATTAATAATAATATTTAATATTTGAATTTCATCGAATGACAAATCAGTTATATTATTAAATTTTGAAGGCCCTTTTTAAAGGAGGTTCCCAGCCCCAGGGTATAGACATATTTCACAACAGATCATTCAAATCTGTGTGATACATGCTATCTAATGTATATCGATACATCAACAGAAAGATCTACGCACCTGTCTGGCATCAGTTTTCCCCATAATGCTTAGCAATACCATATCCTTTTACTGGTATCTACACAGCTTCAAGCACTCAATAAAATATTGATCTACAGATGTACAAACAATCTCTCCTCTTTACTGGAACAACAAATAGGTAGTAAGGCATACCTGATCAAACAGTCCCATAGCAAGAACTGGCAGGGAAGTGTAGACTATATTAAAGAGTGTGATAAACCACTGGTCATATACGGTCTGTAGCAAAAGAAGGAGAAATATGGGTTTGTAGTAATGGATCCACTTACACAAACAAAAAATTCCATTTAATCTTGTCAAGTTTTTCAAAAGTTAAGGAATTCAGCCATGGTTGTATACATGGTCTGAGCTGAGAGAATAAGACAGATCTGTATTCCACTCAGCTGAACAATACCTAAGCTGAAGGTATAATATGAATCAATATTCAATACCGAAGCTTATATTTTTCCATGAACGATGTCTTATTATGTAGCTGCATAAGTTACACTTTGTCTCAATATTAGGGTGCACGGGTGACTGTCAGTCAGGGACCTCACCTGTGCAGAGAAGCCGCAGAAGAAGCCAAACCAGAAGTGCACCAGGGTGAAAGCAAAGTTCTTGTAGAAAAAGTAGCAAAGGAAGCGGCACATGCGCAGGTAGGACCAGCGGCCGTGTACCAGCAGGAGGCGCTGCAGGTAGCGGAACTGGGCGAAGGAGTAGTCTGAAGCCAGCACGGCCTGCATGCCCTCCTGCCCACTGATGCCCACACCGATGTGGGCCGCTGTGGAGGCAAGATACATAATCCTCAACAAGGAATTACCTGCTGCTCCTTAACTACAAAAGCAACACGTTTAGTGTCACTCAGGTCTCTTTAAGACAACAGAAATCGTTTCTATTGGACTGACTGAAGCCATTATCACGCATTTGCAGGTCAGATGCTTTGCGATTAAACTATTTCCAGAACAGACATAACATGATATAACCCTGTCTCCCCAAGCTGCTAAAATGTCAGTGGACAGCACACCTAACATGACCGCGCCTGAAATTTAATTTAGAGCGTAAAACAACAACAAGGCTTTTCTGTAAATTGTCATGTTGACGGGATCCAGGCGCCAGATGGATACTGGCTCCAGTGAGATGGGGGATGGGGGGGGGGGGGGGGGGGGGCGTGAAGCACACTTACTTTTAATCATGCTAACGTCGTTGGCGCCGTCCCCTATGGCCAACGTGACAGCCCTCTTGTGTCTCTTCACCAAGTCCACCACCTGGGCCTTCTGCAGGGGCGTCACACGGCAACAAACCACGGTCTTGCACAAGCAGGCTGTGTCCAGCAGGAGGCGCTCCAGATCAGCCTCTAGGGCGTGGGCCTGTTGGATACCACATAGCGGTAAGCACCACAAGCCCCGCCCCAATGATGACATCACCAAGGTACAGAAAAATTCAAACCGAGACATTACAACGGCAGTAAATGAGACCTAGCACCGTGCTTGAATTCACTGGGTCCTGTTACTGCGTGGTAATTCAAGCCATCCCCAGGGTGTCTGCTAGGATCACTACAGGGAGGCTGTTTCTCCAACAGGGACTGTGAGTTTAATTAAGAGCCTTGGGAATTAGGGACTCCCAGAACAGCAGATCTGAGTCCTCTCAGCCGATAACCACAAGCAGAAGCAAAGGCAGCATTAACACACACATCACGCAGGCAGAGAAAAAATGTCGCGCACACATTCATTTTCTTTGTTTTCCCTGCTGAAAATATATTCATGTCTTTTTGCCTAATGCCTCCATCTTTATCTACGTTTATGTTTACTTGAATAATAATCCTTTTATCCACTGCCAAGGGTACCATAGCTAGCCTGTGACTATGCAATGCTGTTTTGTTCCTTGGCTACAGTCACCAACAGACTAAACGAGAAAATGTGAAGAAGTTCTTTTTTCACATTTAGAAATACTGTCCACCTGTCAAAGACCTTACCAAGCTATGGCCGTTTATGATTAATGCATACTCTGATGTGATAGTTTCTTCAAAGACGGAGTCATTCCTGTAAAGGTCCATTTTTTCCGCGTCTTTCTCGCCATTAACGATCTCCCGGGTGGGGCCAAGAATCTTCTCCTTGGCTGTCCTTGAAGTGGGAACCCAGAGAGCAGTGCATAGATCAGGTCATATCACAGATATCTACATACGTAACCCTTTGATGCGCTCATAGAGAGATGCTGCTCGCTACCACTAACACAAGCTAAATACTTACCAAGCAGTTTGGCATTTTCTCTAGTCTGAGAGATACATCTCCAGGGCTGCCAACTTTAGTCAGCTGGCTGGCTCAAGATTTTCAATTCGAGACAAGTTTGCACGCTCATTTACATGTATGTAACAGTTTTATTACCTTGTGAATAGTCTGTAGGGTTTGCAAACTGTCCCAACACATTTGATGTAGCTAATTTTATAGTTTATAATGGAATAATATAGGTTTGCCGTAAGATTTCTTATGTGAGTGTGAAAATCAGAAAGCATGAGTGTCACGCCAGATGCGTGACAGTCTGAAAGTGTGAGTGTCACGCCAGATGAGAGTTGGCAGCCCTGCACATCTCAATTAGCAAAAATAGCTCCTCCATTACAAAATAAAAGATGAAGAGGACAATTACAGTGGGGGAGAATTCCGTGGTTTGCAATTAGTTTTTCTGCAGTCAAGTTACAGTTCAAACACGAACATTAGATGCACCCTTTCCTAATGTGATTATTCCCTTATTATTTGCTTCACAGACGTTTGGCCCTCAGCGCCTGCTTACCTGAGCTGTTGCTGGACCTCCAGGGCCGTGTGCCCGGTGATCACGAACACGTCACTCATCTCGTCCCTTAGCATGTTACAGGAGTATCCGATGTTCATGGCTGTCTCTGCGTGGCAACAGCAGGTTCCAGTTAGATTTAATGGATGATGGGTTCCGCGCATACGCCAGATAAGCTCACGGGACCTCCCATTACCATATAAAGCCACAGTTACCTAGTTTGTCTCCTGTGAGAACCCAGATCTTAATGCTGGCCAGAGTCAAGCAGGCGATGGTCTCGGCTACACCTTCCTGAAGCTTGTCCTCTATGGCTGTAGCGCCTAACAGCTTTGGAAGGAGAGGGCAGAGTCTGGGTTCGAGAAACAAAATGATCTGGGGTGTCATATTCGGCCACAGTGCGAGACACCGACCAGAAACTCACTGTCATGTCCTGTTCGATCTCCTCGTAGAGCAAGGCCAAGCATTCCTCGCGGTTCTCCAGCGCAATGCTGGCCTCGTGCAGCCTCACCATCCACTCTGCAAAGACGTCTTCCTCCAGGTCTTTGTAGGCCAGAGCCAGCGTTCTCAGGCCCTCTCCAGCAAATTCCTTTCACCAAGTAGGAGATACAGAAAGGTCATCATAATGAGGTACATTTACAATGACAGGACACAGAACCAGCACGAGGCTTATCTCACAAAGCCTCCAAATCCCAGTGGACATTAAATAAACTTCTGGGGAAAACGGATGCTTGAATCGGTCACTGTCTATGACAGAGAGTAGAGTGTTTTCATACTTGACAGAGAACGCCTCTTTACTGCTGACGTCATTTAATACGCAGTATGTTCTGGAGTAAATTAAACCAGCTTTCCTGCTGCGGTAGAGGGCAGAAAAAAGCAATCATGATGAATTACCTGCCAACCTAATAATCAGCATTACGTGTAGTACTCCTTAGGCAAGCTGAAGTTCTCAAATGGCACTACAAACGCAATTTCTAAACAAACCCAGCTTCAGAAGAAATTGCTGAATATGGCCGTAGTATACTATACAACAGCATAGTAGCATAGTGTGTGCGTATAAATGTTTGTGTGTGTGTGTGTGTGTGTGTGTGTGTCTATATATATATATATATCTCAGAGTAGCGGGGGGAGCAGCAGAGAGCCGCCGCGACTTACGTTCAGGTGTTCTGAGGTAGTATAAATGAGGTCTTCAGTGGACGGAGCCAGTCTGTCGAACAGGATGGTGTCAGCTCCCTTTGAATACAGCTTGATCTGCCCCTTTGGGTTCCTGACTGAGTCACAGAGGAGGGGGGGGGGGGCATTATCTTCTAGCTCAATTCTTGCCCAGAGGCAGAGGAGTCTCAAAAGAAACAATTTCAAAGGTCACAAGGAATAAAGCAAAGCGCCCTAAAGCTCAGCAAATGCTTTGAACATCATTTGCCCCCCCCCAAAATGATGACATGGAATAAAACATGCCAGCGTCTCTCTCCTGGGCCAGAAGCGAATGCTGGTTCACTGACCGATGACGCTCATCCTCTTGCGGATGTTGTTGAAGTCCAAGATGGCCAGAAGCTGGTAGGTGGAATGCTTTCCCATTTCGTACAGCGTTATGGTTTCCGGGGTTCTGGCTCGGAAGACGAAGCCGAAATTGCGAGCGGCAGTCACCAGGGCTCCCTCGTCTGGTGACTGTGCCTGGTACACCAGCTCCCCTGAGAGGGAACCACAGGCCACAGCTCACAGATACCATCTACAAACAACATGCACTCTATGGCGATGCGTGGCACAATGAGCTACATGTCTGTGATTGGAATTTCATCAGGTCAAATCCCATGCCAGTTGGGTTTAAATCCCATGTCATGGTTGGCAGAGTGATTTCACTGTTGAGCAAAACCCTAACCCTAACCCTGATTTCTCAAATGTATGTTTTTTTACAGCCTGGGATAACATTTGTCTGCAAAATAAATGTAATGTCTACAAAGGAAGGTTGCTGCTGTTTCTGAAATGCAAAGATATCACAGCATTTCATGGAAACCAGAGCATTTTAATCACAGATCAACATTCTTCTCCTTCATTCCATAAACCTTCCAATCAGGAAGGTTATGTCTCTGATGAGAAGTGACACTCATGGTAAGAAGTATCCCTCACTGCACCTGCGGCCATTTGTTTGACATCTCACCTTCATTCTTCTCCTCGGGCATGACAGTGTGGCACAGAGCCAGCACCCTGAAGAACTCCTCCACTGCCGGGTCACCCAGCTTGACAGCTTCCACCAGACTGTGGTCATGGAATCGGAACTTCTTGTCTCTCAGGGGATTGAAGGAGAAGTCGACACTGGGGGATTTCTACAGTCACCAAAAAGAAACATGCAGGAATATTTCCCCTGCTGCCCAGGCCACCAAATCCTGCCGGGTTAAAAGATCGTATCCAAACACCTGTCAGACTGCCTGAAGCATATTACCTTAGGCTTTAGCAAGGATGGGGTAAAAATAAGCATGTTAATTTTAACAGTAAGAAATGCAGTTTAAGACAAGACTGAACACCTACTGGCACAATGTATAATAAATCAAATATCTTGGCAAAAACAGTTGTAAATATCTTTATTGCACCATACCATATAACCAAGAACATAACATTATATAGATCAGAGGTCACTAACAGGCGGACCGCGGTCCGGACCCAGAAGCTGTCCCATACGGACCCGGACCGACAATAAAAAACATTTAGTTATTATTTAAAACCTGACGGGGCGCTTTTATTTTAACCGGCACAGCGTTTGTAGTCTTTTCGGTAGAGGTTTAGCAGTAGAGCCGCCGTTTCCCACGCCAATGAACGTCAAACGCCTTTGACCGCCAAGCAAGACGTATAGTTCGGCGTATGCAGCCTTTGTCTGCGCTAATGTGCCTTTCGTGTTAATAGCAGCAGCGAAGCTAACACCCGCAAACAAAAAGCGTAATGTTCCTAACAGAGTGGCTGCGCTCTCCTGAAATCGTAAAGCTGGAAAGTTTTCAAATACAATATATATTATATAACACGTTGGATAAATAGACGTAGTTTATCGTTGATTTCATGTTCGTTGAAGTTTCTGCATTTTAACATATGTATAAAGTAATGTTATCTGTTATATAAATATACTCATGTGAAACAAAAAATGTACGTTTTCAGGGTTGCCAAATCTCAAGCATCTGGCATGACACTCACGCTTTCAGACTCATGCTGGAAATCTTACGGCAAATCTATATTATTCCATTATAAAACCTAAAATTAGCTACGTCAAATGTGTATTTATATGGTTAAATACAAAAGCAGACTATTTACAAGGTAAGAACTGTTACGTGTGTGCAGACATCTCGAATTGAAAATCTCACTCCAGCCAGCTAGCCGAAGTTTTATGTCACGTGACAATAAATAACGTCAAAACGTTTTTGAATTGTACTGAATTAATTTGATTGACAGTCAGGTACTGATTACATACAATGTTGATGCAACTAATAGGCTACTTAAATATATATCACACTATTAAATAGTTAGACATTATGATCTTCCGGACCTTTGCTTCAAGAATTTTTCTCTAACTGGACCTCTATAAATTTTAGTTGAATACTCCTGATATAGATTATATCAATGTCTATTTAAAGCCATGCTGTTATTTCATCATACAAAGTAATAACTATTCTAGCTAGCTGCTGACTAATACAGGAATTGAGAGACCTTATCTTCAAAAAAGAGGCCAGAAATTCTTCGATTTGTGTCTCATGTAATACTCTCATGTAATCCCTTTAGTTGCTGGGCAACATATCTTGAACTGCTCATTATCTGGGCTTTTTCCATTTACTCTATTTTCAGGTTCATCAATTCTCTCTTTTCACAACAGTTCAGCCCAGTTCTAGAAAAAGAGATCTGGCCATTTCAGGATGAAGCACTCAAAGACATACCTCTGTGATTTCCACTTTATGCCCGAATTCATCGTAAATGTCACCTTTACAAAAGAAGAAAAATCATTAGCGCGCTAAGCTAAAGCTCTAGCCAGGTTTTATATTTCTTTTCATTTCCGTTGTTATTTTGTAGACTGTGGGCCAGACATTTGTAGGACGCACCATAGGTTCTTCCGTTGATGGAGCACTTGTTGAAGACCATGATGTTCTGCGTGAGGGTGCCGGTCTTATCTGAGAAGATGTACTCGACCTGGCCCAGCTCCTCGTTCAGCGTGGTGGTGCGCGCCTCCGCCGCCATGTCCCGCCTTCTGTAGTACATCCTCCGGTCCCAGTTGATGAAGTAGCTGTGGCCCAGCCGGATCACCTCCACGCTTTCGGGCCGGACACCCAAATCAGAGCAGCACAGACACAAGTTATGCAAACCCCACCAAGAGACGCACACTATTCACTATTTCAACCTAAACAATGCCAATGCAAATTAATTACATATTTCATACCCCAAGACACACTACATTTCAGTTTGCCATTCAACGAATGCTCAATTAGCAAAGCAAGTTAATAATTTGACAGACATACTGACACACTTTTACAGTAATTGCTTTCCACAGCACTTGTGCTGCAAGCAGAAGTGGACATTTCAGGTCCAGAAAGCAAAAATCCGGACCAAGATTTTGTTTCAACCAACCAGTTGAATATAAAGAGTCACAGTCAGAGTATTCAGCTGGTTGGTTAAAACAAAATCTTGGTCTGGATTTTTTACTTTCTGGACCTGAAACATTCACCTATGCTAGTTAGCTAATATATAATGCACAATACAGCCAGAATATAAACATAGGACACACCAAGCCAGTCACATTTAAGCTTTTATATGTATACCTGAGTATATATTACACTTAGATGAATACGTAACCACACTGTAAATGTGATTAAGACACAGCAGGCTCTCACCCCTGCATCTGGCATGTTTTTCTTACCTGACGTAGAGGGATATTGGAACGACTGTGTTGAGGATGATTATGTAAGACCAAAAGGTCAGAAACCCAGAGAAGATGGCGTCGTTCAGCACTTCGTCCCACAGCAGGTACACCCGGAACTTTCCGCCCACCTTTTCTTCCCAGATGGAGTTCCCAATGGCAAGTATGACACCCATGCACAGAAGGAACCCAAATATCTGACAACAGGCAGTTGGAAGAAGGTTCTCAGAACTGCACATTTTGTGGTCTATCTGTTATTTTTGCATGAATATTTGGGCTGTCACACATCAGTACAAAAAGACTTGTAAGGTTAGTAAGTTGGAATATGTGGCCCTGAGGCCAAACATCTACACAGAACCAGTACATGCAAGTGTGTCCCATTGCTCTCTGGACTGTGAAAACCGACTGCTTGCTTTGTCAGTTGCCGTTAATGAATCCACGCTTACCGTGGCATGTTAATTACCATCAGTAATTATACAGGAGAGCTCCGGGGAGATCGGCTCACCCATAACACCAAAGTGTTCATCAGCCTCTCGATGCTGGTTCTTTTGAACGCTGTCCTCCCACAGTTCTGCATTAGCTTTGTCTGTGGTCCTAACAAAACGAGGAAATTGATAATCAGACACTGACATTCGTACCACTCTGATGGCCCGACTCTGCTCTCACGCCCCCGTCATGGCCGTAAGCATATAGCTCCAATCAACAATTGCCTACAATCTGTCGAGCACACACACAGGATATTTAGCGCTGACCGACCTTAAAAAATTACTTATGCAGACAAATTCATACAAATATGGATTAATAACATTTGTCAAGCACATGTAAATGAATGAATATCCTAATGTAATTACTTTCACTTACTGCTTACCTGTGTACTTGAACATTACATAACATTTATGACAGTAAATGAGACAATCCTCTCTCTCTGTCACACACACACACAGATTTGTAATTATATATTTGTGGGGACTCTGCATTCATTTCTATGGGCAAAACCCCAATCCCAACATGGAGACCTTAACCCCTACCCAGCCCTAACCTTAGCCATAACCATAAGTAACCAAACAAAATACAAGTCTTTTGGCACTGTTACTTTTTTGATTGCAGTCACAGATTTTTATTATACTGAATTTCCTCTTGTGGGGACCAAAGAATTGTGAAAACATTAGGTCCCCACAATGTAATGTACACCAGGACCACAAACACACACACACACAAACACACACATGCAAATTTCTGTGGGGATCTGCTACAGTACAATCCTGTTATAACGGACTTCAAGGGACCTGGCAAAACAGTCCGTTATATCCAGAGTTGCTGTATGCCCAGAACACAACTATAGGACACCATTTACTCATGCCACACCCCAGCAGACACACTTGTGGTATAGATTATTATATAGTACATGTAGTAATCCAACTTCACCTGACTAGATGTGTGACTATTAATAATCCCGACTCCGTATCTGCGCTGTATATCACCGGCACGCCACGCGCCTTGTAGGCGGAGCTGCATGTCCGTTATAGCCGAACAGAACTACAGCTAAAAGCGGCGCTGGGGACTAAATTGTTTGTCCATTATAAGCGAAATTTCGTTATAAGTGAGTCCGCTATAACGGGATTTTACGGTTCTGACAGTTAATGATTCTGAACCCCCCGCTACCTAAAATAATAAAGGACATTTTCGAACAAGACCATTTACATATTATCCCATAAAAGATGAACAGCACATAAGAAGGGCATTTGTTTTGCTGAGCCAAGCACACGTCTCTGTGGGCTCTCCTTCTGGGGATTTGCCGTGAACGTCGCTGTGAAGTGCGGCAGAGTACCTGTGAAGACGACCAGCCCAAAGCACCACTCAGTGTTGCGCATCACACAGCCCCGCAGCAGCAGCTTCTCATTGTCCAGGGGATACTTGTTGTTCTTCCAGGTAAGCGTCCCCACAAATCGGTCCAGCTTGTTGTTGGGTGGCTCACACACAACCTCCCCTGGGGGGGGGGGACACAGGGAACAGCATCAAGCTGCTTCAACTGGGCCAAACAAACCGGGAACTCCTCCTTTTACATGCGACGTCTTGTTAATGACACCCAAAAACGACCGAGTCGCATCACAGACGAATCACGTTAGACAATTCTCATGGTGCCATCCGATGTTGGGCGGCATCATCCTTTATAGGCCAGACTTAAGTTTTGACCTACATGGCTCAGGTATACATGAGGAGGCCACGTGAAGTAATTACAAACTCATCTGCTGAAAGGCGTGTACACCACAGGGGTGAGATCTCTCTGACCTTAATGCTGGTCTCAGCATATGGCTGCTTGGGTTCCTTGTCAGGCAAATGGAAGCATGGTTCAGCAGTTATTACCCTTCCGTGCTTAAAATAATGAGAATCACGATAATGTATGTTTAATCGGAGTTTTACTTTGTTAGGTCTAAAATCTATCATTACACTGATAAAAAAAACAAAAACATAATAATTCCCACTAGGCGCTGCCGTTATCTTATAAACAGATTTCTGTCTCAGGGAAGGAGATGCAAATGTCAACTGCATCACGGCATCAGGCAAAGAACAAGGAGCCCTCACACCTGCTAGTCAAGCTGCTAGTCGTGTTTTCAAACTTCAAACAAGCTTCAGCTCCTTCGGAGTGGGTGACGCACACTGTGGGCAGCACTGTGGCCTCACACCTCCTGGGCTGAGGGCTGGGTGCCGGATAGAACACTGGTTTTCTGCAACTGTCTGGTGTACGTGTGAGTGTGGGACCTGTGATATGCTGCTGGTGTGTCTAGGGCACCTAGTTCTTCCTGGTATATTTTCCTGAAACCTGGTGTTCTTAGATTGGCCGGACTTTTGGAAGATGAAAAGACGTATGGAGTGGTGGCTAGCTCCAACATCACAAACTGGTCCAGGATCAGTCATTTTGCTTCACAAACCTGAACACCGAAATGAAACAGGCCTTGCACTTGCTGCCACGATGGACACCATCATTACTTTCCAAATTTCCCTCAAACTAAGATGAAAGGACACAATCAATTTGAGAACTTCATCTCTACAGCCAAAACCAGAAATACAATTAACCAGTGGCTTGGAAAAAAAAGACAAAACACTAATTAAAATCATCCTTGGTTCCAAGTTGAGATGTTGACCTCTGTTGGACAACTGATAAAAAAAAACAATATTTACCATCAAAATCAGCCAGCTTGCTAATATCAGCCCCCAGCTCTGAAGTCACTGACAGAGCCTGTCGCACCTTCAGGTTGGTTTCCCTGGTCAAAGAAATTCACACATTAGTCCAAAAACAGAATGGACGACTTGTCCACGCGTGAAGTTTTATTGCAAGTCGCAAGCTCAGTATTCCTGTTCTTCAGACCGCCTCGGAAAACGGGCTGCATTAAGCGACGCCTGGCCGGCCCAGAAGCCGTGGTGTGGACCCGTCTTCTCACCCGTCCAGCTCAGCTGTCTCTATGTAGCAGAGTCCGTAAGGCTCACTACTGGACAGGAGAAGCAGGTCAGCCTGTTGGGTTCAGATACAAGCATTTTCATCAGATTGAGACACTCTTCATCAGAGTCATAACAATAAAGACAGTCTTATTTACCCAAACAAGATGTCAAATTCTACGTTATTATGGTCATATTCAGACTCTGGGACATCCTGCGGTCGCTTAACCCCCCCCCCCCAGGATGCAGACTGATGTTTCCACTTACAGCCACAAATTGATTATTCTCCAGCTTGATGATGTCTCCCACACGGACGTTCATCCATTTCTCATTCTGTAGTCTGCAAAAGAGCCCGGGCAATGAATGATAAAGTTCTGGTTGACTGATGGCCCAGTACAGCCAATCAAAGCATAACATCCTCAACATTCATGTTTACTGTTACTAATAGTGTGTCATAATCTGTGTGATACTGCACCAATATAAAAGTACCCATTTGACCATCCATCCATTTTCTATATACATTTGTACTATGCAGGGTCACAGGGAGCCAGCGGTTGCCTCTGTTAAATTCAGAGATAGTTCAAGTCCAGAAAGTGAAAATCCAGACCAAGTTTTTGTTTCAACCAACCAGTTGAGTACTCGGTGACTGCGATGCTTTACGCTCAACTGGTTGGTTGAAATAAATTCTTGGTCTGGATTTTTACTTTCTGGACCTAAACCATCCACCTCTGGTTAAATTTTAGTATGATTTGGCAGATAACAAAACACACAGTTCCATTCCACAAGATGGCATGGTCAGATATGCTGCTTTAAATGTGACCCGCGTTCCTAAAAGATGGGCCGTGTTAGAATGAAAGCGGAAACTCGTGACACTGCAAAAGAATCCCACACTTACTTTCCCTTGATGAGTACCTGAGACTGGCGAGTGTTCACTTGCTGATCACTTTTATGACGGAACTGAAACCCAAAAAAGGTCATTGAGAGGTATTGTGTACATGAAAATATGAGAAATATCACTAAGAGTTTCACATTATGTTGTTTTGAACATATTTCTTGAGTTTATGGCATATCCTGTTCCTTTCAACAACTAATTAACATATGATACTGTAAATTAGATTAATTTAAATTGATATTACTGGGAACGTTGATTATTGCATTGGCTTTTTGCCTTTAACACATTGTAAAGAAAATGAGAAAAACAGCACATGATATTTTGGCCAAAGGAACTACATACGCAGCCATCGTTACATCCGACTTGCCACAGCTATGAGTTCTGCTATGAGCGTGTATAGTGTCTATGAGCTTTTGATGGCGACTTGGGAAGAACGAACGATAGATGAGAAGGAAAGCATCTCCTACTCGCTAAAACCTCAGATTACATCAGAATAGAGCAGGACTATGAATGACAAAATATTATCAATTTTAGAGATACGTGCATCGATATGCAGTCGAGGGGCCTAGCTATGCAACAAGCAGGGCCATAACAACATTCATCACAACAGATTCATTTCACGGCTCATCCAGCCCATAATGAGCATATTAACATTATGAGAACATTATGATCATGCAGGGACAAATGGCGGGCGAAAACATTCGAGACGATAATACGGGGGAGGCAAGGTGACCTGAAACGGGACCTTCGGCAATACTCACGTAGTCGTCCGTGGCGTCCTTCACAGCCGTGATGGTCAGCACTAACACCAAAGGCACAATGGTGGTGAACCAGGACAGCGATGAGATCTGGGGGATGAGCTACAAGCGCACGGGCAGGGAAATCTCATAAGATCCTCACCAAATGGTCACCGAAGGACTCGCCGGCAGACATGCGTGGAGTGAGTAATGGCCTACTGTGTGCGCACCAATTTACGACGGAATAATACGGCGTTTTGGTCGGTGGACATGTGGCTTCGAAGGCAGCCTGTCAGGCAGCCAAGATTTCTGAGCAGACAGCAGACTCATGCTCGTAGACACATCACACTTACTTATTTATGAATCCACGTAATCTAAACTCACCTGTAATATGAGCAGAAATAAGAAATAGGCATTGGCAACACGCTGGAATTGCTCAAACAAATTGATGGGCAGGAAGGTGAAGATGTTGTACTTTGATGTTTTGATGCGATTGTCCTAAAAAAAAAAAAAAAAAGATTGCAATTGTTTATAATTTAATATAAGACAATTTGCAGTACATTTTAGCAGCTCTAATCCTGACCTTGTAAGGCCTGATATATAGATTAATATGTACATCACGATAAGCACTGACCATTTTTAGGAAGATCACTGAGTTTATCTCAGAAAATGGTCTTTATAGAAGGTAGTTCAAGATCTAGCTGTCATACAGCTTGTCTCAAATTATTAAGTTTCAGTCCCCTAAAAATATGGGGCCTTATCTAGAGTGGAGGGTCACTAAATTAAAAACAAAGAGCCTCATTTTGCTTAGAATTTAAGGCAATCTGAATACTTACTACATCGTGATTATTAATTTATTTCAAGACAATGAGCAGTACTTCTGCTCCAATGCAGTTGTTTAAAAGAATGAGGCCCTTAGTTCTACATTATTTATGGATAACCTGATCTCTGAGTAGATGATGGGAGAACTTTTTCTGGAGTTACTGAAGATCAGCATATCATGTGAGATGCAGCAGCTACAAGTAATATGATGACCTAGATTACCAAAAAGCAAGGTGAGGCGTTCTTTAGAAGGACAGAGCAGGAAAAACAAATGACCTACTTTGCTGAATCCCTTGTGGTCAGAAACCTCCCAACCTTGTGAATTTCCTGTCATTTACACCAACCTCGATGGGTATTTGGTCTTTACCATGTGGTCTAGGGGTGTTATTGAGGGGGAGGCGCTTGACGGTTACAGTTGTACACCAGAGGGTGGTGGGGGGGGTGGGCGGGGGAGTACTGGCAGTCGTTGGTCGCCGGTGATCAAAAGTAAAAAGCACAGTAGTGGCACTGCAAAGAGAGCCACTTTTGATACTTCAGGAGAAAAGGGCAGGTGCCCAGGTGCCAGAGGAGTGAGGCAACAGTGCTAACCACAAGACCGCCAGGCTGCCCCACCCATTACTGGGACAAGCAATTCAATAAAGACTCCCCAGATCGTGCAGGTGAGGTATCCACTACGTTCACTCGGGCGCAGGACAGCAGAGGTAGAGTCTCAGCCTCTCTGACACACAGACCAAGAAGCCTGCACAGTGGGGGTGTGTGGTTTGCTGTGAGCCTCTCTGCCTCAAGTTTGCTGTGAGCCTCTCTGCCTCAAGGTTGCTGTCATCTAATTCGATTTAGGTCACTTCCATTTAATGATCTGCCAGCACACCTGTCACTATGGAATAACGGTGCAAATATGTTTCCGAGAATTTGCGAGAATTTCTAAGATTTGCGTGGGCAGCGTCTCAATAAAAAGAACTTAACTCTCACAAGCTGTTGTAATCCAAACAATGCATTCTGTACTGTTGACTGTCCTGTGATTCCCCTCTGGGTTTTTTTTAATCCCTTATCGTATGAATTTCCACTGGACACTCCTGGTTAATCAGCAAATGCCAGGAAGGGAACAGAGCCAGGTCAGTCAGAGGGCTGTGATTGTTCAATCCAGATTTTATTAGGTCTAAGTACATACACAATAAGTCAGCCCCTTCCGATGCCCTGTGCAATTCCCCCCGCAATGGCAGTTGCCGAGTTTTGCTATCTCTTACTCAAAACGCCCATGTGGGTCTTGCCCCGTAACACACAAAGGGGAAATTCCCTTTCCCATTTCCCAGCACTGTGTCATGTGACTCTGTCTGCCCTCCTGACTGGAGAAGTGATCATCACTGACTTTTAACTATTTTCACTGAAGGAAGCTTCTTCACTCTATAAACATTACACTGTTAAGGTAATCATTACAAACAAAGTTCTAATCACTGGTAATGACATTAAACAAGGCCTGATGTTAAATATCACACATAAAACATGTCATTAAATATCACATATTATTTTATTTGTGAATAGGAGCAGAGCCTGTGGAAATAATTTAAGCTTAAGCATGGGTATAAATTAAAGGGGGGGGGGGGGTTGTATCCCCCCAATAATTAAAACCAGCCCCCAAATAATCACAAAATGGGTGGAGAGCTCAGTCCCCTCCTGTGTTCAGCCCAAAGTTACGCCCTATAGCTTATGTCATTTTGTTTTCCAAAGATCCTTTTCTATATCAAGCTATTTCCACATTCCTTCCAAGGGCGTCACGCCGGCCCTCACTGCGAGTTTTTGACCGAATCGCCCTGCCCACCCCCGCCTCAGCAGGAACAAATACAGAGGTACTTACAGCGTACAGAAACTTTTCATTGTAGCCGCGGTCATTGGCTTTCACGCGCCGTTCCTCCTCTGAAAAATAAACAACAAAGTGAATTGGCTAAAAATGCTCAAAAATAATGCCATTTAAATACCATATGAAGAAAAAGGCCAGTCTATACAGTGTGAATTTTAATGAGAACAGTTACTTGGCAGATCAACAGCAATATACCATCTGTTCCCCATTACTGGATGTGTAATCTGCCACAAATCTGTACTTATTCTAATGGAACAGAGAAGGTCACATAGAAAAAGGATATGAATACATACATTTAGGTTTAATACTAATCATATATAAAATGAATGAACGATTGATGGATGTATATACAGAATATAAAGAAGCGGCTCTAATCAGTCCCATCTCCTACATATAAGAGACATTCTTTGTAAATTCAAGTGCAGCATTACTGCCCAGATTTTATGTTGTCTGATGAACAGGGAAAAAAAGACTCCCAAGAGATTTTTATATAATGCAGCTTTTTCATGACGCTAGAATGAATGATTATTTTAATTACTTCTCTTGTCACTGACACTGAATTCAAAATAGCAGGCAGTGAGTTCAGATGACGAGTCCTTTGCTACAGTTATTGACTGATAAGGGCAAAGATGTTGTAATTAATACATTTTTGCAATTTATATGATTATAAAGGACATATATTCAGTTCAGCTGACTTGTTTTTGTGCAATATATGACACACAATACAACAGGATTTTCACAAATTAAATTATTCAATCTAAACTCTAACGCTTTCAGGCCTGTGCAACGCAGGACACATTTTGAAATAAGATAAATTTAAAAACAGGTCTCTTTTTTCCATATCTTACAGAAAATCAATGTTGGAATCAAAGTTTCAATTCCACTAATTCATCAAAAAGTTTTCCCTCAGAGAACAGATTCCAGGATAAAAACAATACACTGTTTCAGATCTCTTTAAAGTATCTCAGCAAGAAACAGGAAAAAACACGAACTCTACATTAAACCTGGCTTGTATTGTGGTAAAAGTGTCAAACTGCAAGACAATCCATCAGTCTTGTTCATTTTTTTTTTCACTGCACCCTCGCTGTTTCTCTTTGTTGAAATACTCTTCACAGTCTGAGCCGTGCTCCTAAGGTGCATGATTTAATATTTACTACATGATTTAGTAATTTAATACATGATTTAGTAATATTATACTTCCAAAATATTGCCCTATAGCAGTGTTTCCCAGTCCAGTACTCGGTCCACGTTTTTGCTCCCTCCCAGCTCCTGGTAGAAGGGAGTACAATTGTGGACTGCCTGGCAGGGAGCAAAAACATGGACTGTCTGTGGGTCCCCGAGGACCGGATTGAGAAATGCTGCTCTATAGTATATGTCTCTAGTGGTTTGCCAATCTAAACCCACACCATCCAGCTTACTGCACCATCCAATTAATTATTATTATTTTGTATTTAAGCTTTACCTTGTCTAGGGTCTTTGCCGGGGGGTGTCTGTCCTCCTCTCCAGGGCAATAATACCCTCAGCCATTTCTCTGCCATTTCCTTCAGTGCAGTCATCCTTGTGTAAACAATACGATAAGTCAGTGTAAGCGAGGCCGTCACCCGGCGAGGCCGTCACCCGGCGAGGCCGTCACCCGGCAAGGCAGGGGCGCATCATGGCGAGCCAGCCACTTCAGAGGAGCCACATGCCCTTCAGCTCTCGGGGACGGGCGTCCCTGAAAATGGCTCGCGTTCCGCAGATTTCAGGAACACCCGTGTTCTTCCACGCCTTGAGGTGATTTGTTTCTGCGAGGCGGTCGCTGAGCTGGAAGGTCGCTCTGGTATGCTGAAGGTGTCTGTACTTGCCCCGGTTTTTTACGGGGAACCAGGCCCCCCTCTTTCACTCGCTGTACATACACCTTGACCAAGTCGGATTTTGATTTGCTCAGAAATTGTGCCTGTTCTTTCCCCCAACAAGAGAGCAGAGTAGCAATCGGCTGAAATGGTTTCGAGTGATGCCTTCAGACATCTCTGAAGTTAAACATTTTCCAGCATGAACATAAAACTAGTTCCCTCCCCCTCAATTTCCCTGCATGACATTTAGGTTTCTCTGATGCATAAAGTCAGGGATACCCTCCCCTTTTTACCTGGGGAAGCTCGTGCATGTCCTGTCATGTTTGCAACTGCGTTAAAACTGTAACACAGTTGGGTGGAACTGACACTCAGTGTGACCTTTGACCTGGCATTTAACTGGGCTTAACATCTCTAAAACATTAGTAATTCTACCTACAAGTATGGAAATATCATTAGGAAATATCACCATTTGAATGTTTATCACCATTACTCATTACCTTCATGAAATGTGGGAGCTAGAGATTCATTAATTCCTTCCACAGCAAAGAGAGCTAAAGACTTAGAGAATTACCAAAGTTAATGGATAATATACTTAATGACACTCACTGATGGCTGTAGTAACCTGACTACTGAGTGAGACTGGTGCATAATTTATGTAAACAAACAAACAAACAAAGTAGTAAACGTAACTTATCAGTTCCATTTAAATAACACTGACTTTAGCCTACTATTGATTTTCCAAAGGCCTCCTTAAAGGTCTTCCCCAGTCCTAACCCATTTCAGCCAGAAAGACTGAGAAATCGTGTATTCACGCTTAGTTGGCTTCGTTCTGGTCCACTGTGCCGGGACAGTGGTGGCCAAAGCAAACAAACGAACAAACAAGCCTCCGGCGCTGAAACAATCATTCATTAACCAACAAGTCAGAAGCACTTTTGAACCAAAACTGGGAAGAAATGTAAAGCTTATGTGTTACAAAAAAGAACATGAAAGCCTACAAGCTATGGGTCTCCATGGACACTGACTACCCAGAGATAGGATATGCGACTGCAAACAATTAGGCCTCTCTCTCCTGACATCCCTCCACACCATGCGTGCGACTCATACACCACAGCAAGCCTGGCAAGGTAAGACTTTCCACACAGTTAATTGGATCATTTGTTAGATCTCTTTCCCCCACAGTCACGTCACATGACTCTTTTCCAGTCCCTGAAAAGTAATGCATGACAAAGTGCCCATTGATCACTGTCAGGCTCAGCTGCTTGCCCTCACGTGATGATGTCATTGCACCCTTTTCAGGGGTTCTGTCATTACCAGCAGAAATACATTTTGCCGCGACAATAACTTAACGGGTCAATCGAAATATTGGCAATGTAGTGGAAACATTGCCAAGCCAACTCAAACCACAGAGAAGTATGACTGCAACAGAACTGTGCTGCAATCGGCGATGAGGTCATGCAACTTACCAAAACCTGATGGTCTCATCATCCTGCTTGCTGCAATTCAAACTGCTACGGCCTAAAATTAGCTTTGTGATAAACCTACCTTTTGTGCATCTATTCAACCCCCCAGAAACTCAAGCCTTCGGCGTGCCAGTGTTTCATACTATATAAGCTATAAGAGGTGGGAAAATCCTTTATGCTGTGGAAGACTTTGTGAATGACAGAGTAAGCAGGGGTTGTTTTAGATAAAGTTTGTCTTCCAACATCTCAAGGTCTGTCCCTAAAACCGAGCTCAACTTGTCTTAATTTCTATTGTGTCTTTCTTACAATAAAAGACATCATTTTGCCTGACAAAGAATACAGAGCAGCGGTCAAATTCTTGGTGAATAATGCATGGTTATTAACCTTAAGGCTCTGTGAAATAGGAGTGCACTAGCTGCGTGCTTTCGTGGCACTACCCATGCCCTGCCAGATCAATAATTGAAGTGTAGTCAGTGTTGGTTGTTAGCCTCCCGTTTACTCATTCACTCTTACTGTTCAAAGGAAGGCAGCTGCAATTAAGTATGGAGAAACACGCTACCCACGGGGCTTGTACACTGCAAATCTGAACTTCTGATATAAATAGTAGCTCCCTGCCAAAACACCAGCTGCAAGATACTTACGCATAATAGGAAAAAACAAACAGACAAATGCAGAGAAACCAAACCAAAGCCACTGGCAAAACAGTCAACATTTACCTGTCATAGCATCTCTGCAACTGAATACTTCACAGCACCAGTGCACCACAAGTGCACACCATTGTTCAGGAAGTCTCCCTGCTGACCCGGCAAATGGAGATTATTAGAATCTCACTAAAAGTCCCGACTAAAGCAAAACAAATGGAGCTGAGGAGAGAATTCCAGACGGACAGTCACTTCGCTCCTTCAGGCCCACCGGAGCCTCCATACACAAGGAGGACTGGACGAGGGAGGCGTCTTCTACATCAGAGATTTCGAAGGCCAGCAGATGAGAGCCAATGAAAGGAGGGAGCGCTTGGATGCATGTCGCTCGGAGCACTGCGAGGCCTGTGACGAAGCGATCCGTGACACGCATACAGAGTCACGGTAGAGTTAAAGAGACACGTTACACCACTCAATTAAAACACACAAAATCTAGGTGCTTTGTATTCTTGCACTCATCTGCATCCGTTTCTGGGAGAGCTGTCAGGTCACATACCAGGGCCTACAGCTTCCCCGGTCAGCCTGTATGACCTGACTTCTACCCAATAAAGGTCACTCAGCATCTCCCACCTGTCAAACACTGATGCATCACTTTCCCACCTCTCTGTCCTACTATTCTGAGACTAGAGAGGGGCTTAAAACAACAAGAGCTTCGATCTCCTGTAAAGAATGATACTGTGCAGCTCTCCAAGCAAGAAGATCTCGGCACAGTCTTTGGAAACAGCTATCAAATTCTGACACTGGGTGAGGAGTCTAAATTTAGGGCACCTATTCCAAGATTGTATTTCACAAATATTGATTTAAAAACGTTAATGCTGTTAAGAAGTCTGCTTCCAGGAAATTAAGATAAACATCAGGGTATGAAAAGTGACTTGAGGTTACCACTCCACGTTTTACTGCTGTGCGTAGGACAGCTGTCAGGTGAATGGTCACATTCTTCTCACATGCTTAATCACGTCAGCTCAATTTTAAAAATGCACATCAGACAATTTTGTATTGCTTTTGGAGAGCATATTTCTTCAAAATCAGTTACACAAAGCGCTGCGGAAAAGTAAAAAAAAAATATATATATATAGGGGCGGCATGGTGGTGCAGTGGTTAGCACTGTTACAGGGTTGTTCCCTGCCTCGTGCCCATTGCTTCTGCAATAGGCTCCGGGCCCCCGCGACCCAGTAGGATAAGCGGGTTGGACAATGGATGGATGGATGGATATGTATATATCTATATATGTGTGTATATATATAGCTTTTTAGACACACTATTAATTAAATCTGAAACCCAACATGATCCTTCATAAGGCACGTTCAAATCAAAAAAAGGAGAATTACCTCCTTATCTTTAACTGTCTAAATCGTGAATATCAATATTTACTCAGAATTTTGTAGTTTTAAAGCCAACCGCATCCTTTTCACATGACAGATCATGCAGAGGAAGGGATCGTCGTCCTTCACAGAGTGCGCAGACCACAATGCCATGGAAGACAGCTAGCAGCAGATAAGAACGGGGCCTTTTCTGCACCGCGGCTCCCATGGACCCCGTACGACACTCTCACAGGCTGTTACACACAGCTCAGCAACAAGAAGACGGAGGTAAAGCCATTGATCTCACCAGCGTGTCTGCTCTTCTCACAACACCTCATAGTACCAGGGGACTCCTGGCAACATCCACGGGCCTCTCTGCAAAAATCAGCAAAAGATTACATGGAAAATTTCTTTAACTGCTAACATACAGACTATTAACCATTGTTAGAATCAATCCATCCACATTTCAGGTCCTGTCCCTGGAAGCACAGGGTATAAGGTTGGGGTGAGGATCCGCACGACAGCAGGAGAACATGCAGACTGCACACAGAGAGCAGAAAGGCTACTCAACGGTTACACACCAGAGGTGTGAGATAGCAGTGCTTCTAATGGAGCCTCAGTGACACCCAAGTGCCAAAATTTAAAAAGATAAACTCTTCCTGTAGTAATCACATGAAAAACTAACTAACCGCAGTCTACTTATATGTTAGCCTACCCCTTTAGTCTATCGTGATTTGCATAGTTATCCTGACAGCTGGCTGGCACAGGGGGGCAGTGCTGATACTGACACTTCCAGAGTTTGAGCTCTGAATCCCGCTTCGCTCTGTGCGCCTGCAGTCCACATGTTCTCCCCCGTGTCACAGAGGCTTCCTTTCACAACCCAAACACATGCACTTAACCTGATTGATGTCAGTAACTTTCCCATTGACTGTGAGCAAATACCATGGCTTTGTGCCGCATGCTGCCATGGAAAGACTCTAACAAACCCCCCCCCCTCGCTGTGACCAGGATAAGCGATTAGAAGATGGATTATGAAGATAAGAAAGATAATACAAGTTTGAAAAAATTTTTAGCTACCACATATTGCCAAATGTAGTGCTGGTAGTGAAATGGCGAACAACATTTTTTGGGAAATTCAGATCACGGTTATTATAGTTAAACGAAAACTGAGACTACAACTGAAACCAAAAGCGAAAAAATCATTTCTTAACCAAAATATTTTTAAAAATCTAAAAAATAGTAATACATTTTCACAAAAAAAAAAAAAGCTAAATAAAAACTAAAATAAATAATGCAACACTAACTAAAACAAAATAGAAATGCTGGTAAAATCAGCTTTGGTTTCATTTTCACGCCCTCAATTTGCACTGTGGTTGAGTTGCAATTTACGTAACAGCACACTGCCCACAGAAAGCCAAGACCGTTATCCGCCATGTTGGTGCTTTTCTCGTCTGACCAAGGTACTCGTGTATGACTGGCTGGTCAAGGCTGCGTATGGTGTTTTCAGCTTGACTAACAGTGTTCACGACAAACAAAAAGGATTCATTAGGATCCCAAAAAATTATAAATAACCGTGATCCAGAGAGAAGAGAAAAAGTATTATCTAGTGAGCGCCGCTGCACATTTTATCCATTCTCCATTCTTCAAAGACACACACGTATGTGCTGTGTGGTTGAATAAGTGAAAATGTACTCCTTTTGTCAAAATAAGAGACTATTGCTAAATTGAAACGAGTTACCAAGCTTTGTTTAATGGTTTGCCATTAGATTTATGTTTAGTAATGATACGTATTTGTCCTTACTCCTGTACATATTGTCAAGGTTAAAACAGGGCTGGCAGAATTGCAAATTACTGATAGAATCTTTCACACATTCAGTGCTGAGTGAAAGGTTATTGGTTTTGGCATTTTGAGTGTACTGGGAGTTTTTCAAATTGGTGTATTGAGCTTTGTTTCAGCATTCTTTGCACAATAACCGTCTGATTGCTTTACTTTACTTTTCTATGAATAATCCCCCTCTCTCTCTAACCACTACCCCCCTATTGCTTTTCATTGGGGGACACCCAGGTAGACTTCACTTTCTCCAACAGTGCCAAACTCCATCAAGTGTGTGCATGTTGTAATCAGGGACTGGGAGCATCAATAAACCAGGTCCTTCATAGCTATAGAAACATGAGGGCAATAGTGTCATAATAATATGATTATTCATGTAAAGCGAAAATAGAACTATTGAGTCTTAGGCTACAATGCATTTAGTGACATCGGCTCTATCTGTAATAACATTTATTTTATTTTTATTTTAATCACAATATAAGCCCTTATAATTTAGACACACTCTATTGTTAGGTTCTATTTGGCAATAGCTTATTTCAGGTAACTTCATCTCGAATTTGATTTTATAAATATTGCAATATTACTTGATGTGATATTGTGATGTCATAATCGTGCAGCCCTAAATATATATTTATCTATGTAATGAATTCTACCATAAAACACAAACAAGGTGGGTAAACAACATCCTCTGAAATCATTCCATATTCATGAACAGAGAAGTACATAAAAAGGACTCTTAAAACTACATTTTCAAAGCACTTGACATTATAGATGTTTGTACAGCAAGATTATTTAATATTTTCAGCTTACTTAGATGGTGTCTACCCTCCTTCGGCTGCATTTTCCACCATCAATGATGTTGCCACCCGAAACAAAGGTTCTACTAAAGTTCGTGAGCTGTAGTTTAAAGTATGGTTTTGGGAAACACCTGTGTTGTTTAACGATGCATTGTACCATGTAAGTTCGCGATGTCGTTAGCGCCGTAGTTTAAAGTATGGTTTTGGGAAACACCTGTGTCGTTTAACGATGCATTGTACCATGTAAGTTCGCGATGTCGTTAGCGCCGTAGTTTGAACTATGGTTTCGGGAAACTCCTACGTCGTACTTGCATAGTTTCAATAACGCAAGTCGCTAACGTAGTAGTAAGAGTATATTTGCTTAGAAAAAACCCACAACATTATAACATGTGGAAATTAACAGTAACACAATTAAAAGTAATAAGAAATTCTTGCCTGGAGCACATAGGCTCTGGGTTAGGCTTCCCTAACCCCGAGGACCCCCCACCCCCCCCTCCCCCACAATCCTGAAGAGGACAGGCGGTTACAGAAAATGGATGGATGGATGGATGGATGGAAATTATTGTGTTCTCCAAAACGTTACTGAAATCTTGTTGGATGCCTAGAAGAACACAGCTTCTGTTCCCAAAGCTCTTCTCAGGGGTGTCTCAGCCGTTCCATTTACAGGTCAAATTTCACCTTAATTACTGATTTGCAAAACAAGGTGGGGCAGTGGTTAAGTCCCAAAATGCATTGGTTTATGGGATGGTTACTGCAGATACCGTGGTGACATTATGAGATCTTTTGAAATGGCCAAGCAGACACTCATGAACTCGCGTTTACAGTAGATTGTGATTAGGGTTACTTTTGACAAAGTTGGCTGCTTAAACAGACCATGTTGTGAGATCATGCCACTGAGCTTCTCATCCAGGACAGCAACCCATCATTCACAGTCAGAATCCAGTTTCTGGCGTGAAAGCAATGTCACACCGAATTTCATTTATCATCATCATTAACTAACTACCACAACACAACAGATGCACAAGCCGGCCCTTAAGCGGGTTTAGCTAAATTTTACTCCATAAACCATAACACTCAGATATACAGACCGTTCTATCGTGGTTGCAGAAATTTATCTGTCTTGTCACTCATTTCTCCACCGTCTTATTGGCCATGCAAACAGAAATTCATTGCATTTATATTTTCTATAGCAGCTATATATCAAATTTTAGGGAGATCTCATGATCATCACTATAAAGAGCAATAAAAAAAAAACATTTCATAGGCATTATCAACTTTGATATGGCCAAAGGCACGTCTGGTTGTAGAAGCTGTGAAGCAGTTTATGACCAGGCTGCGTTTAATCGTTCTTAAATGCTGCCCTCCCTGTGCTCTCAGCACAGCCAAAATCCACCCTGCAGTCTAAAGCACACTCTGCACTTTCCAAACATCCTTAATTAAAACCCAGAGGAGCTCAGAACTCAGCTCCTTCAACAGGGAATTCTGCTGGAAGCTGTTATTTAGCCTCCTCCTCCGACAAAGACTGGCCGACAAACGTTATCATATGACATCTTTCCACGTTCATTTACACCTTATATAATTGTATTGGGGGAAAAAATCAGCCATGCATAACACTGTTTTACACATGGTTCTACTGTGTCCGCAGCAGGACAGATCCCCGATGACTGCTAAAATAAAATCACTTCTGATTGCAATCTACATTATCGGTGCATCAGGCCGTATCTCTGGTGGGTTTTAAAGTCTGCAAATGTATACACGTGATGCCGATTAAAAAGGAAACACTCTAAATGATAATGCAACTAATATGGCGCATGGAAAGCTTTCGTCATCCTTAAAATGTTATTTCAAAATTTTTTTACCAATATGACAAATAATAAAATACTGCAGTATTTTGAATGAATGTGCAGATTAAATAATTATTTTCAATTGTAGTTACTTAATACAAGTACAACAAAAACAAATATCTGAGCGGTTGGAAGATTAATGAATGAATGAACAGATGACGGATGGATGGATGGATGGATGGATGGATGGAGGGATATTAACACAAGTAGAAACAGC